TTAATGTTGCTCCAAAATTTTGATTAACTTTGTCTTTCAAACAGTGTATTCTACTTATGCTTTCTCTTTCATAGGCAGGGGAGTCAGTGATACCCTACGCATTTTGTTTTTTGTTTTTTTTTTTCTCTTTTTGCTTCAACCTGAAGAAGTAAATTGCCTGTTTCTTCTTGATTAATGTCCATTGGTTATGCCTTTAGTAAGCCTTCCTTGTTTAGAGTCTTGTGTATGTTTTTCCAAGCATTTTTTAAGTCCGTACAAATTCAGTTTTGCTGGCAGTTTTTAGTGAAGAAACCAAAATATTCAAGTTTTCATGTAAATAGCTTTCGTATTTTTGAGGTAATCATTTTTACTCTTGTGGAGTCACCTATACACAAAGATTCTGCATGTGAAATTTTTGTGTTTTAGAAATATATCCTAGAAGTGACTTTGGTTTAATTTAGGATCAAGAGGTTTTGCAGTATATGGCGGAACGACAGTGAATATAAGGGGTAAGGGAATCTGAGTTCTAGGCTAAGCTGTGACCTTAATAAATCTTAACTATGGTAAGTCATTCAACCTCCCTGGATCTCAGTTTTATCTATGAAATAATCCTCACTAACATTCTCTGACTTTAACTTTAAAAGTTAGAATCAGAACTATTACCCTCTCCACAAAAAAACTGAACCTGCTCCAATGTGAGAATTGTTTACAGTCAATTATAAGTCAAGATGGAAATGGCTTTGGTTAATCAAAAAGGGTGAAGTATCCAGTGTGTGCACAGATGACCTTGAAATGTAAGAGTTATGAGTGGGAAGCACTGGGATTTATGATGTCTCATTCATTCAGCTTGGAAGACAGTGTGAAATGGGAACAGAAGCATAAATAACCAGGACATTTGTTGTTCCTTTGGCAGATGAACCATATTTTATTGGGACTCACTGCTTGACTGCTGGTTCTAAACCTCATGTGTTAAAAAGAAGATGAGTAATTATGTTTTTGGCATGATAGATTGTTACAAGATGTTTGAAACTATTTAGTAACATAGTTTAAGATCCCAAATTCCAATATGAAGGTGTTCTGTTGTGTGGTATCTGCTGACTTTTGACCTACATGAATAAAGTGCCATCTTAGAAGTGAAAGCCAGTGGGGTGTGGTGGCTCACACCAGTAATCCCAGCACTGGGAGGCTGAGGCGGGCAGATCACTTGAGGTCAGGAGTTTGAGACCACCCTGGCCAACATGGTGAAACTCTGTCTCTACTAAAAATACAAAAATTAGCTGGGTGTGGTGGCAGGCTCCTGCAGTCCCAGCTACTTGGGAGGCAGAGTGGGAGAATTGTTTGAACTCAGAGACGGAGGTTGCAGTGAACTGAGGTTGTGCCACTGCACTCCAGCCTGGGAGACACAGTGAGACTCCTTCTCAAAAAAAAAAAAAAAAAAAAAAAAGAAGTGAAAGCCATAGATCCTTACCTGCAGGTGGTGGTGGTCACATACAGGATGCTCACCCACATGGCTGTTGGAAGAATCTGCCTCATCAGGGCAACACCCATACAGGCACACATAGCCCCACATGGTTTTTATTAAGCATAAAACTTAAAAACTGCAACTTTAAGATATATATTTAATTATGATAATGCAAGCTCAAATAAAATTAGAGAAAATTTTCAAGAGTAAAAAGTAGAAAAAGGAACCTAAACTCAAAATAATACACAGCACAAGGCTGCATTTTCTTCATAATTTTCCTCCCAATGCAGGGCAGTTGTGTTTTTACACAGTTGTGATCATACCATTATGCAATCATAGCATTTTATTTTCTTAGGTTAAAAATGATCTGTACTTGGTATTTATAAAATGCAAATACTTTTGATGTAAAAGAGAAGAGAAAATGCCTCTTTGTTCTCTAATTTCACTCCCTAGTAATAGTTAGTGTCAATTTTATTTTTCACAGCCATTTTATGGACATTGAAATATGCAAACTTTTAAAAAGCAGTGGCATGATAATCTGTAACTTTTTTCTATGAAAAATTACATTGTGGACATAGTCCTACAATGACGCAGGTAAATCTAGAGAAGGGCTGTTTTCTAGTTGCCATGTTAAAAGAGTAAAAATAGGGGAGCTTACTATATTTTATTTAACCTGATATATCTAAAACATGATCATTTAAACATGTAGTCAACATAAGAGATATTAATGAGAGATTTAAGTTTTTTAAACTGTTTTTGTAATAAATCTGGCATGTATTTTACACTCAAGCACATCTCAATTCAGATGTGAAATTTTCATTGGAAACACTTGATCTGTATTTAGAGTTTACAAAACTTACAATTGAAAAAGCAGAATCACAAACCCAATTTTTTCCAGACATACTTTAAAGTTTTCTGATAACCGAGTATCAATTAATTAAAATAAAATTCAGTTCCTCAGTTGCACTGACCACATTTGAGGTGCTCAGTAGCTAGTGGGTCCTGTATTACCCGGGAGCAGACTATCCTTTTTAATAGTTGCGTACTTTTATTTGCTGATAATGTTCACTGAGTGCTTGCTGTATTGTTGGCTACTGTTAATCAGGCTTTGTGTGTTACCTCTATTAACCCTACAGTGATCCCAAAGGATATTACTCTAAATGTACAGAAGAAATGAAAACTTAGTGCAACTATTAAAAAGCATAACTAAGTCTTAAACCTAGGTCTTTGACATGAAAGATCATGGTCTTTCCCTCTCCTCTAATGTGGCTCTGTTATGATTTCTTTAATCATTGACCTACCAGTAGATATTTTGATTATTGTTTATTATTGGCAGTTGCAAACCATACTTCAGTGAACATCTTTGTGAGCATAACTTACATAATTGTTTCGTAAAAAATTCAATGAGAATACACATTTTAAATATTCATAGCCAGTCACGGTGGCTCATGCCTGTAGTCCTAGGACTTTGGGAGGCCAAGGCAGGAAGATCAGTTGAATTCAGGAATTCAAGACCAGCTTGGGCAACATAGTGAGACCTCATCTCTACCAAAAATTAAAAAAATTAATAGGTGTGGCAGCATATGCCTGTAGTCCCAGCTAATTGGGAGGCTGAGGTGGGAGGATCGTTTGAGCCCGGGAGGTTGAGGCTGCAGTGAGCTGTGATGGCACCACCGTACTCTAGCCTGGGCATCAGAGTGAGATCCTGTCTCAAAAAATAAAAATAAAAAAATTGTTTTCAAAGTATCCTACAAAAAGACCTTATCAGTCATATTTCTAATAGAGCATCAGAATACACCTTCACTAAGTATTGTCAGTCTTTTTCATCTTTCTTGGTCTAGTTGGAGAAAACATCTCTTAGCTACACTTCTTTGATTACCAGTGGGTTATTGTATGTGTTCATGTTTGATCATTGGTGGGTTTTTTTGTGAATTGTCTGTTCACTGAACTCTTCATAAGCACAATGCCTAGTACATAATGCCTAGTATATAATACTGCATTGTGTGGCTTGTTGGACTTGCTGCTTATTTCTGCTTTTTTCATATTATAAATAATACTGCAGTGCACATCTCTGCATGTCTTTTTTTGTATCTATTTTATTTCCTTAAAATAAATTCTTGTTAGTGGAATTCCTGGGTCAAGGCAGTGAATATTTTGAGACTCATGGTATAGAATGACAAATTTATTTTCTTTTTTCTTTTTTCTTTTTTTTTTGAGACGGAGTCTCGCTCTGTCGCCCAGGCTGGAGTGCAGTGGCCAGATCTCAGCTCACTGCAAGCTCCGCCTCCCGGGTTCCCGCCATTCTCCTGCCTCAGCCTCCTGAGTAGCTGGGAACACAGGCGCCGCCACCTCGCCCGGCTAATTTTTTTGTGTGTTTTTAGTAGAGACGGGGTTTCGCCGTGTTAGCCAGGATGGTCTCGATCTCCTGACCTTGTGATCCGCCCGTCTCGGCCTCCCAAAGTGCTGGGATTACAAGCTTGAGCCACCGCGCCCGGCCGACAAATTTATTTTCAAAGTACTGGTCTAGTTTGCCATCCAGTCGTTGTTTGGGACCAGTAGTATTAAAAAATATATATTTATTAAAATACAACGATGTAGAAAAGTGTAATTAACCTAAATATACAGCTTAATAAATTTATAAACTGAACACAGCCATCTAAACAGCACCCAGAAGCACTGCAGAGTGTTACCAGCACCCCCAGAAGCGTGCCTGTGCTCCTTTTCAGCTAATGTCTCTACCCTGACTGCACTGACTTCTAACAGCAAAAGTATGTTGTATATGTAATGTTCAAAGGTTAACATGTCACTTTTCCATACGTGCATGTTGATATCTTTATTATGCAAGTAATGTGTTCATTGTTTTAAAAAAAGACTATTATAAAATGCACTGACTATATTTTTATTTTATTTATTTTGTAGAGATGGGGTTTTGCTGTGTTGCCCAGGCAGGTCTGCAACTCCTGGCCTCAAGCGATCCGACTACCTTGGCTTCCCAAAGTGCTGGGACTATAGGCGCAAGCCCCAGTGCCCAGCTGAGTATATTTTTAAAAGCATGTATTATCCCCCTAGTGAATGTTGCTCTGCGTAGTTTTTAATGTATATTAAATAAATCAGGCTGTTGGATTGATTATCAGAAAAGGAATCCTGCAGTCCAGGAGATACTAGCATAATGATCAGTCTCTCTTTGAGGCTTCTAGATTTCCATCGTAAGACAAGGAGTTGGGGTGGGGGGGGCGCTTGTTAAAAATGTGCCGTCAAGAGTCTGACTTCATAGGGCTCAGAGGGGCCTAGGGAACTACATTTAAAAAATATTTTTAGGCTGGGCATGGCGGCTCACGCCTGTAATCCCAGCACTTTGGGTGGCCAAGGTGGACAGATCACAAGATCAAGAGATCGAGACCATCCTGGCCAACATACTGAAACCGTGTCTCTACTAAAAATACAAAAATTAGCTGGGTGTGGTGGTGTGTGCCTGTAGTCCCAGCTGCTCAGGAGGCGGATGCAGGAGAATCGCTTGAACCCAGGAGGCGGAGGTTGCAGTGAGCCAAGATCACGCCACTGCATTCCAGCCTGGTGACAGAGGTGAGACTGTGTCTCAAAAAAAAAAAAAAAAAATTTTTTTTTTTAAATTTCTTAATACATAATGGTTATGCATGTTTTTAGAGTACATGTGATATTTTGATACATGTGTATAGTGTGTAATGATCAAATGAAGGTAATTGGAATATCAATCATTTTAAACATTTATCTTTATGCCGCAAACATTTGAATTCTCTTGCTATTTTGAAATACACGATAGATTACTGTTGAACTATAGTCACCCTGCTGATCTGTTGAGCACTAGGTCTTATTTCTTCTAACTGTATTTTTTCCCATTAATCAACCTCTCTTCATCCTCCTTTCCCCCTGCACTCTTCTGGCCTCAGGTAACCACCTGTCTATTCTTTGTCTTCATGAAATCCACCATGAGCGAAATCTCATCCACTTATGAGTGAGAACATGCGGTGTTTGTCTTTCTGTGCCTGGCTTATTTCACTGAGCATAGTGACATCCAGGGGAACTGCATCTTTAACAACACTCACATGACTGACTTAGGCACATCATCATGATGTGAACTCCATGTGGGCAGGGGCCTAGCTAGTGTCATTCACTGCTGTATGCCTGGCCACATAGTAGACATCAGTGAGTGTGTGCTAAATGGTTAGATGAGTTTTTTGAAAGTTGAATCAGGTGGTTCTCACTCACTCACCACAGTTCTGGGATTGTAAAAGCGGTGGCACTGTCTGATCTACTGTTTACTTGTCATGGGTCTTTAAAGAAGTTTCTAAAAGTCTTATACCTTGACGTTTGCATAAATTATATTTTGACAACCTTTTAAAAAAATTTTGTTGCAGTTATCATGTATTCAGTTCAAATCATTCTATAGTACATTGGATTGTAGCTAAATAAGCAAAATGACTCAAATTTAATAAAATGTTTTGCTTCAGATAAAGTACTGGATCTATTCATTTTTCATTCCATACAAAATTATTTTTGACACTACTCTGGAAATTCACTCTGATGTTAGGAATAGTCTATACCTTTCATGAATCCAACTCAGAAATAAAATAAGTGACCTAGTATACCACTACTTGGAAGTTATTCTTTGGTGTTTAATGGTAAATATACTTTATACTAAAAGCAGATGGTTTTTTACATATATTGTAAAAAAGATGCAAGCGCTTGAACACGTGCTTTTGTGTTTGTACCCCAGGGATGTTCTTTATTAGTGATATGGCTTTGAGAAAGTATCATCGTCTTTTTGGACCTAGGTCTCCTCAACCTTAAAATGGAAATAGTACCAGCTTCACAGGGTCCTTGTGAAAATTCAGTGATAATGTGTGTGCGTGTTTAGCACTGTTTCTGACCTGTGATAGGTACCTGGTAAATGTTAATTCCCTTTCTCTTTCCTCCTATTTAAATTAGTATCCAGGTTACTTCTTTTTAAGGGACCATCTTTCTTTTTCTTTTCTTTATTTTTGAGACTGAAAATAAAGCCAAGAAATGCAGTCTTCTTTTTAAAAAATCAATAATAAATGGTGTGTTTTGCCCTAATATATGAAATGTTAACTGTGATTTTGTTTCAGGATTTTTTTCATTTGTTTTCATATCTTGTTTCTCATTAGGACATGAAAGATCAGATGTCAACTTCATCTGTGCAGGCATTAGCTGAAAGGAAAAATAGACAGGTAAGAAAACATCAGAATATAATTATCAATGAGAGAAAGCATACAGTTAGATATTTGGAATTTTAAAATGCTGACCATCCATGGATCGTGTAATCGAGAGGAAGACTTCTGCTGGCAGGGCCTGGTGTCACCATGGGAGGTTTTGTGACAGTCCCAGCAGCCTGTCCCAACACACTGTCAGCGTTTCCCTCCCTCCTCTTACCCTCTGGTCTTCTCCTCTGGGCTCCATAGCACCTTTTGCCTACCCTTACTCTAGCACTTATCACAGAGTACTTTTACTTTTTTAATGTGTTTATTCTGTACCTGTTGAATACACTCTATGTGCCAGGTTCTTTGAAAGGCTATAATTACTCACTGTCTTTCTCTCTGCTGGGCCCCAGGCCCCTTGACAGTGAGGAGAGATGTGTGTCATGGTTTTTTGTTTTTTGTTTGTTTGTTTGGTTTTTTTTTTTTTTTTTTTTTAGCTCTCTAGCAGTTACTACATTGCCTACCCATGAAATGCATTAGACATCTAAGGATTGACATTTGATATAAAGACATTAGAGGAACCTTAAACTTGTATGTTAAATTACATTTCTCTTTGTTTTAAGTAGTTTTAAAAAATTACATACTTTGGCATATCAACAGAAGCTCCTAATTGTTAAAATACAGTCCTTTTAAAAAATGTAGAATGGTCATCTAGAATTTGGACTTTCATTTAGATTGAGATTTGATTTAGACTTTTTTGGTAGGATAGAATGTTTTTTGCCTATTGCTAAACTGTTAGGTGATTTTTTGACAGAAGTAGTTTTTAAATTCTGTGGATATCCATTTTCCTTAGCAGTAAAAAAGACTTCATGAAAAATGATAATATTTGCTTTAAATGACTTAATGTCTTAGCCTCATTTTATTAAGATTCCAGAAAGTTATGAATTGTCTGTTGAGTAGGCTCTTGAGAAATTTCACTGTTTTTACTAACTAGCAATCAGTACTTCATACCTGTGGGTATTTGTCAAGCCAATTAATTTTGAAAACAAATATTATGGAAGCTTGAAGAAGATTGAGGGTTCTATAAATATAACCTAACTTAATTTTCCTGTTTTCTTTTCCTGCATTCCATTTTTCAAGTCATTGTTTTGTTTTTGGCTTTTTAATCTTACTTGCCTCATTTGCTTTCTTTTTGAGCAATACAGCTAGGAAAAGCCACTAGCTGGTCCATTCCATTTGGCTCCCTCTCTTGAAAGAAGCTAGTGAATGGCCTCAAGTTGGCTAGTTTTGGAGTTCTCTTCTCATTTGCACTTGAGCTTATAGGAAGTGGAAGTACCTGAAGTAGTTGTGACAGTGAGGTTGGTAACACCTGTGCTGTTACTCTTAATTTGAATGTTTTATTCTCTGGATAGTATAGTTGGGCTAAAGTAAATAAAATTTATATTATTGATAAATACATTTATATAAATATATATTTAAGTTATATAAATATATATTTATATTTATTTATAAATATATATAAATATTTATATAACTTATATAAATATATATAATAGTACCTGAGATTTATATATATAAATGTGTATATATACACACAATATATTTATATAAAATATATATACATATATCTGTTTATATATTGCCTGTCCAAGTATGGCTTGGAATTTTGTTTTAGGCCATGAGTGAAATGTCAAGTTGCAAATTTTCAAGGAAAAGCAGGGCCAGGGCTCTCTAAGCACTCCAGCAGGCATGGGCCTTGTCACAGCATGCCAGGTACCAGGCGCTGCTCTGCTCCCTGCCTCACCAGCACCCCTGCTCTGGCACCCACACACAGGTGCATCTTCCAGTCCTTGGGCCCTCTCTCAATCTCTGTCCTATTATCACAGACATGTGGGGTTAGACCAATGAATTTTAAGCTATTTTACAGTAAAATGTGGATGATTTGCCCTATACTTAGCTCTGCCTAAGTGTACACCATGGAAAACGTAGGGAAAATAGCCCTGTGACCTCAGGAGCACACAAGGCCCTGGTGGTGTCCCAGTTCTCTGTGCTTAGGCCAGTGATGCATTATAGCCTTTTTCTGACCCTAAAAAAAAATTGTCATTAGTTCCTCATGTCTTCCATAGAGGTCCTTAGAGTCTGGATCAGAATGAGCAGGATCTTTTCAGTCTTGATAGCCCTAAGACCAGGTCAGGGCAGAGCCACCCACAAAAAGCCTTGGATCTGCTTTACACCAGAGACAGTCACCATCCAGCCTCGACTGGACTGAAGCTCTGGGCCCCTGGAAGCTCTTGTAAGAAAAGCTTCTAATAACTGAGCTTCCCTCATCCTAGCCCCTGAAGTCTGGCCATTTGATAGAGTTCACCCCTCGCAGTCTGAGAAGAGGTCAGTGTCAGCATGGAGGAAGATCATGGGGCTGTTGGAAGGGTTTTCAGACAGAACCAATTAACCAGGCAGGCTTTTAATAGTGTCTGAGATTTTTAAAAATTACCTGATAGGAAAATTTGGCAACTCTACAAGGAAAAAGAGTCTTAGTTGCTAGCGTCTTCTGGCTCTGGCTTCGGGGCTGGTGTGAGCAGTTATTTTGACCAGTCAGAAAGGCTTGTCGGGATCTGGTCAGAACAACTGCCGAGACTGAGCTCTCACATTCGTGCCTGTCCTCTTCATGTGAGGAAGACATACCCAACCTTACCCGTTTATGGCTGCAAACTTCCTTGAATTCATACTTGGGAAACCCGACCCTGGTGTCCGGGAGCCCTGGTGGAGAACTCTGACTTTAGGGCAGCCCTTGCCTAGGTTGCCAGGGTCAGACATTCCTTGTGATCATAGCTGCCTGGTAAAGTAACCCCCAGTCATCATCTGGAAAGCCTGAAGGACCCTAGATTCTATTCATGGATTAAACTTAACAGACATTGATGGTTCTTGTGCATTTGTGTGTGAAGAGCTATGGCTTACCTTCTTGTCATTCCAGAGAACTCTCCCCTTCCCCTCACCAAAAAAACCCAAAACTTCCCTGGGTCACACTTTTCTTTAAAAAGTACTCTAGATATTTGGAATCAGGTTGACTGGAACCTATGGGTTGTTGAAGTTCCACAGGTACCAGGAAGAGCTCTTTTACAAGAAATTGAATGCTTTTCAATTATAAGACAGTATATAGATGGGTGTTTGTTGATTTAGCAGGCATCTGTTTGCACTTTAAGGAGACAAAGCCCATTGTGAGGGCTATTGGGAGAACTTAAAGACATAGAGGGCCCTTCCTGGAATTCCTTAAATTGTACCACCCAGACACCAACCTACACCACTACATAAAAGCCTTGCTCAGGGAAAAATAGATAAGAAATGTGAAAACTCTTTATATCACTCTTGATGCATCACTTGTTCAGTGATAGTAATTGTTTGTTTCTCCTGACTCCTCTGGTTGTTCTGCTCACACAGGCACTGCTGGGAGACAGTGGCAGCCAGAACTGGAGCACTGGAACAGCAGATAAATACGGGCGCCTGGACCGAGAGCTCCAGCGAGCCAATTCTCATTTCATTGAGGAGCAGCAGGCACAGCAGCAGGTACCCCGAGGACCCCGGGCTTAGGACAGGGCAGTGGGAAACAAGACACCCCCTTAGTTCCTTTGCCAGCCATGGAATCTTGTGGTTTAGTGACAAGCAGGGTAAGCCAGAGCTTGTCCTGTGTTGATTGTGTTTAATGATTGCATATGTAAAGGGTTTCAAAATCACAGCATGACTGCTTCAAGAGAACCAAGCTCAGCCAGACATGGTGGCTCGCACCTTTAGTCCCAGCTACTCAGGAGGCTGAGGCCAGAGGATCCCTTGAGCCCAGGAGTTCAAGGCTACAGTGAGCTTCGATCATGCCATTGCACTCTAGCCTGGGTGACAGAGCAAGACCCTTTCTCTAAAAAAAGAACCAAGTTCAGTTCTCTTAGAAAAAAACAGACCTTTGTTCATCTCAGCAGAGATACTTTCAGAAAGATATCTCATTTTTTTCATTGAAAATTATTGTTTCCTTTTTTTTTTTTTTTTTTTTTTTTTTTTTGAGACAGAGTCTTGCTCTGTCGCCAGGCTGGAGTACAGTGGCACCATCTTAGCTCACTGCAAACTCTGCCTCCCGAGTTCAGACAGTTCTCCTGCCTCAGCCTCCTGAGTAGCTGGGACTACAGGCGCACACCGCCACGCCCGGCTAATTTTTTTTTTTTCTATTTTAGTAGAGATGGGGTTTCACCTTGTTGCCCAGGCTGGTCTCGAACTCTTGAACTCAGGCAATTCACCTGCCTCAGCCTCCCAAAGTGCTAGAATTACAGGTGTGAGCTACTGCGCCTGGCCTCTTGGTTGGTTTTGTTATATGTAAAGTTGACTGCTTTTGTGTAGATTAAGGGGTAGGAGGAAAATGAAGTTGATTATGTCTGGTGTTGCCTTTGATATGTAGCTATATTAATAAAAGGAAGTTAGTGATAATGTGGGGATTTGATGAGCATATACCCATTGAAACTATTGATTCTTAAATATTGTGTTTTATGTATACATGTAGTTTATATGTTCTTTTGTTCTTTACATTAGTATGTCTGCTTAACCAGTTGTTTACTTAAATTGCTATTAAACACAGGAAAATTTTTTTCTGTAGAAAGTGAGGAGAATGCAACACAACTAAAAGTAAATATTTGTCAGTCAGAAGTTGTCCTTGAGGTAACTTATTGCCACAGGGCGTCCTTTAGTTTGTCCTTGAAGAGGGAGGAGAGACTGTGTGCATAGTTCCCCACATCCAGAGATTTGCCAGACTCTCTTGTATTTAAGCTGTGGCAGTCTGTTGTGGATTGAGACCTTGATCTTGGCAATGGGCTTCCTCCTCCCAAACATCCCCACGTCTCAGTGGTCATCTGCACGTGTGCTTTCAGCCATTGTCTGCTCCATTATTGGACGTCAGCCAACCAGAGTAAATCTCTCTTGGTGGTTTCAAGCCCCGCTGACTGTTCACAAGTTGGATCAGCAGGAGATATCAGTAGCTTGACAATCCAGCCTTTTGAGCAGTGTGTTCTCAGAGGCAACGGTCTGGTCCTTTGATTTCTGGGCTTTGCTTCTGAATGTGAATTGTCCCAAGTTGGCAAAGAAACTAGCAGCTGCTAGATTGCTGGGCTTGGAACCAGGTAAGATGGATTTTAATTGCTTATTTCCCATTTCTCTGGCACCAGTTGATCGTGGAACAGCAGGATGAGCAGTTGGAGCTGGTCTCTGGCAGCATCGGGGTGCTGAAGAACATGTCCCAGCGCATCGGAGGGGAGCTGGAGGAACAGGCAGTGTGAGTATTGAGACACCCCTCTCGCTGCAGTGAAATTCAGGGGCAAAGCCATCCTACGAGACCCCTAAAAAGCCTGGCAGCTACGTGGCTGGTAAGATCAAAAGCTGTTTTATTCGTAGCTGCATTTTTATTCTGTTTTGCAGACTAGCCTCCCCAAAAGAAGCAAATCTGCTCTGTAAATTTTACTACAGGCTTTAGGCAAAGTTGTTGTTATTTTTAAACACCTCCAAAAACAGACACAGATTTCTCTGAGCAGATACTCGAAGTACAGTTATGAATGGGAATGTGAAGCAGAGAAGCCTCTGTAACCTGTGGGGATTTTTGAGCTGACTTTATCATCCTATGACTCTCCCGCTACATTGAGCAAACACTCTGCTTTGCATCTTAAATTATTGTAACTTTGGTTTTTGTTGTTGTTGTTGTTTTTAAAACTTACAGATTTAACACCAGTTAACAAAAACTCTTTCCTCTCAAAAAAATAAAAACAAAACATAACCTCAGTTTGTTTTTCCTTATGAACAGTCCCTTTTGCGCTCAGAAGTTTGATGGCAAAAACTGCATTCTTAAATGCTGCCACAGGATACCTTTATCATTTTACAAGTCTTTTTAAAGAGAAAAATAATAAAACAGTCCGCTAGGATATTTCAGAAACTTTCCTGTCTTGATATTACGTTTATCATGACACATTGATTCATTATAAATTCTTAATGGGCCCCTGTTCTACACCAGGCCTTCTGGAAGCCAAGGGATGTAGAAGGGAACAGAGCAGACAAGACAGCCCATCTCTGCCAAAGAGTTTGCCACTTGCTGGGTAGAACAGACATTGTGTGAGTGGTGAGGGGTCATTAGATGATGGCAGTGACGTGGGAGGGCCCCTGTGATGGGGACAGTGCATGCTGCCTGGAGAGCCCTGACTTAGCCCAAGGTTTCTGAGGAAGAGGGGTTTAACTGAAGTCTGAAGGATGTGTGGATGTTAGCCAGGCAAGGTGAGCGTTGGTGTGGAGGCAGGTGGTGTGGGGAGCATAGACAAGGAGGAAGAAAGTGCGCCTGTGAAGATGGAGAGGTGCACACATGCATGGAGCAGGGAGGTTCCATGTGTCTGGAGGCAGAGAACAAACCAGGGAAGGTCTTGTCAGCATGGTCAGGAGGTACGACTACTTATTCTGAGCATGATGAGAGACCAGTGGAGGTGAGGTTAGGAGTGATGGTGTGATCAGGTGTGATTTAGATGATGTGCTGCAGTGGAGCCAGGTAGGGAGACCAGGCAGGAAGCTGGAGTAGCCAGAATCTGTTTCATGTCTATCTAAAATGGGTCCTGACCCTAAAGTTCAGTTTGAGGAGGGGAAGGGACTAATGGCCTGAGCTTCTCTGTTGATGAAGCAGCCTGGCGGGGCAGTGGGTAATAGAGTCTGAGGGACTTCCGGTTAAAGATGGTGAATTGACACACCCCTACCTCCACTCCCTATCCACAGCTCACTAGAAAAGTAGTAAAGGGGTTTGTTTTAAGGGCATGGTGGTTCACACCTGTAGTCCCAAGTACTAGGGAAGGAGGCTGAGGTGGGAGAATTGCTTGAGCCCAGGTGTTTGAGGCTGCAGTGAGCTATGATGGCACCTCCAGGTTGTACTCCAACCTGGGTGATAGAGGAGACCCTGTCTCTAAAAAGGTAGAAATAACAGATAACTGGGAAAAAGCGTGGGATTTGGACTTAGACCTGTGCTATCTAGTATAATAGCTACTAGCCACATGTGGCTAGCTGTTAAGTAAGTTTTATGTGGCCAGTCTGAATTGAGATGTGCTCCAGAGATAAAATGCTTACTGGATTTTGAAGACTTAGTATGGAAAAATATAAAATAGCTTATTAATAATTTTTATATTACATGTTGAAATGATAGTATTTTGACTGTATTAGGCTAAATACAACAGAATTAATTTCACCTGTTTCTTTTGAAATTTTTAAAAATGTGGCTACTAGAAAATGTAAAATGGCATATGTGATTCATATTTTTGTTGGATGGTACTGAGATAGATTTGGGCCAGCAGCTTGGTTGGTGAGTGTCCATGGACTGAAGGTGGGGTGATGTGCCTGTTTTGTCTTCAGTATGAAAAGTCACACCCAGCGCAGAAAGGTAGTTCTTGCTTTTCAGAGTTTGACCCTGTCTGGATAGGCCTGCCAACTGCAGCACCAAGATGCTGCCAGGATCTAAAATGAGCTAAATATGTTTTAATTTGAAAATTTAGGTAAGGGACAAAGACTTGTTTTAGTTGTCAATATGGAGTTCATGTAATAGTTGATTTAATAAAGAGTTGGTTGCCCTGAATCCTGCAAGACTGTCAGATGTCTAGTTGGGCACAGATCAAGACCAGCAGTTTCTAACTGCCATTGATGCTGTCAGAGTTAATATAGCCTTTTTAGTAAGACTGTTAGTATTAATTGGTATATTACATTCTAGCCTCAGAATAATCATTTACTAATCAAAAGTTGCAAAGTCTGGAATATTTAGTGACTTATGAAATAGGCACTGCTGAAATCGTATTTTGGGGTTTTCTTTCCCAGCTGCGCATTGGACAGCAAATAGTGTAAGCCTGCTGGAGTCAGTTTTCCTACTGGGAAATACTGGTTTCTCTGTGAGGACAGATGGGGAGATGTGCACACACACACACTCACACACCCCATCAGGGATGTTAGTGCCATGGTCTTCTGGGTTTATAATAAAGCACGTAGTGCTTTACAGGAGATTATTTTATCAAAGTACATTCCTTAACTCATATTGACATAAAGTGCTTTTGTGTATTACCTGCTTCTCACAAGAGTCGTGTGAGGGAAGTTGGGCTGATAGGATTGCCCTGTTTTACAGGTGAGGAAACAGTCCCAAAGAGCTGTAGGGTACGTTGTCCAAGGTAGCGGTGTAAACAAGTGGCAAAGCCTGGCTGTCTGCCTCAGATAGCATTGTTTCTACCACATTGCGCTGCCACTGAGTTTGTGTTATTGTATAGACAGGTCCACACTGCCTTGTCTGCAGTTCTGAAATCTAGAAAGCTCTAAAATCTCCTTTCGTTTTTTTTTTTTTTCTCTTTAAATTTACAGCAAGCTCATGTTACAGAAGAACCTCACCTGAACTGACTCCAACTCTGACTCCTCATAGTTTTTTCTGCAGAAATATTAAGTATCTGATTACGGGGACTGCCCCAGACCCTCCTGGCGGTATTGACTAATGCAAAGCATATGTAATTTAGGCTTTTTTTAAATCCCGAGAATTCCAAAATCAAAATCCTATCTTGTCCCAAGGATTTTGGATAATAGAGTGAGGTCCTGAAACCCACCGTTGCCTATTTTGTTTGCTAAAATGGAGGCCTAGTCCTGTTAACCCAGCGCACGTGCACTGCCAAGGCTTCGTGCTTACCAGCGACCTTCTGTGTCTGCTTCTCTCTAGTATGTTGGAAGATTTCTCTCACGAATTGGAGAGCACTCAGTCCCGGCTGGACAATGTGATGAAGAAACTTGCAAAAGTATCTCATATGACCAGTGGTATGTATGGTGTTTAAAGCTTAAGTATTTGTACTTAATTCTAGAACTCTGTCTTGGGGGCGTTGTCTCATAGTTATGCCCATCCAGATCCCTTTCTTGTTTTTTTACAGATCCCTTTCTCTTTTTTTTTTTTTTTGAGACAGAGTCTCACTCTTTCACCCAGGCTGGAGTGCAGTGGTGCCATCTCAGCTCACTGCAACCTCCACCGCCTCCTGGGTTCAAGCAATTCTGATGCCTTGACCTCCCGAGTAGCTAGGATTACAGTTGCATGCCACCATGCCCAGCTAATTTTTGTATTTTTAGTAGAGACGGGGTTTCACCGTGTTGGCTAGGCTAGTCTCGAACTCTTGACCTCAGGTGATCCGCCTGCGTCAGCCTCCCAAAATGCCGAGATTACAGGCGTGAGCCACCGTGCCTGGCTGATCCCTTTCTTATGGCACTTTTTTTTTTTTTTTTTTTTGGTGATGCCTTAGAATCAGAGAATGGAAGACTTGTATGTTCAGTCTTTATCTGCTGCTTGTAGCCTTAACTCGGGAGAAGGTCTTTGCGCTCCCCCACGGTGTTTGGTTTGGTTTTTTCCCAGTAGAGTAACTTTCTTTTTTTCTTTTTTTTTTTTGAGATGCAGTCTCACTCTGTTGCCCAGGCTGGAGTGCAGTGACGTAATCTTAGCTCACTGCAAGCTCCACCTCCCAGGTTCACACCATTCTTCTGCCTCAGCCTCCCGAGTAGCTGGGACTACAGGTGCCTGCTACCACGCCTGGCTAATTTTTTGTATTTTTAGTAGAGATGGGGTTTCACTGTGTTAGCCAGGATGGTCTCGATCTCCTGACCTTGTGATCCACCTGCCTCGGCCTCCCAAAGTGCTGGGATTACAGGCTTGAGCCACCGCGCACGGCCCAGTAGAGTAACTTTGTTTGCAATTACAAAATCCTTCTTTATTTTACTGTTTTAAGATTTCCTTGCCAAAATAGGGAACTTATTTAAAACAACAGTTAAGTCAGTTACTGTTTCTCCTGGACATTCTTTCATTGATAGAAAGACACCTACTACTTCAGAATAAGATGGCATGTGTGGATCTATTTTAAATTGTTATATTTGAAATATTTCAGCAAATTTGCGCCAGGATGAGGATGAAGAAACAATTTTCCGATTAGTTACTGTGTAAGATATGTTCCAGTGACTCTTTACATGGGAAATAATATATTTTAAATTTTTAAAAATCCAGTATCTTTTCTTTTCTTTTTTTTTTTTTTTTTTTTTGAGGTGGAGTCGCCAGGCTGGAGTGCAGTGGCCGGATCTCAGCTCACTGCAAGCTCCGCCTCCCGGGTTTACACCATTCTCCTGCCTCAGCCTCCTGAGTAGCTGGGACTACAGGCACCCGCCACGTCGCCCGGCTAGTTTTTTGTATTTTTTTTTAGTAGAGACGGGGTTTCACCGGGTTAGCCAGGATGGTCTCGATCTCCTGACCTCGTGATCCGCCCGTCTCGGCCTCCCAAAGTGCTGGGATTACAGGCTTGAGCCACCGCGCCTGGCCTAGTATCTTTTCTTTATCTGGTGGGGGTGGCTTGCTGGAAGGAGAAACTGAGATGCTCCTTGAGGTAATCTGGATGTTCCCTGACTGTAGAACACCTCCCTTGCGTTAGAATATCCCGTTTCTTGACACCTCATTCTTCTGTTGGTTTCCTACTGTCAGGTACATGTTATAAGGTCTAATAGGTTAGCTTTTTGAGGCAAGATTTAAATACATATGCACGTTTACTTTTTAGAAGTTTAACTCATAGTCAGGTTACATAACAGTTCTCTAGGGTTCAGTTTCTTATCTATAAAAATAGGTTGAGTCCTACCTCTCCAGGTAATTGTGAGGATTAAATGAAATACCAATAAAGTAGAAGTGCTTAACTGGATTTACCATGTATTTATTGGTACTTAGTAAATGTTTTTAAGAAATTGTAAGGCAAGAAAAATTGCAATGGCCCCAAAGGGCAAAGGACCTATTATATCCAAAACAAAGAGAAGCTCCTATCTAGAGTCATTTTCTTCTTTCTCTCTAGGGACAAGTATCTTTGTTTCTAGCAGGCTCTTCATTGCCTGAAACTGTGCATATATGGGAAGCAGGCACCAGCTTAGTTCATCTGTCACACATTTAGAGAAAGGTTTGCAAAGTCTTTTCTGATTCCCTCTGTTGTCTCTTCTTCTACCTTCTCCCCTCTACTTTAAAAAAAAAAAAAAAAAAAAGGTGTTTTAATGAAGAATTGTATAACCAGTTTAACCTCCAGGCCTCTCACTCATGTATGTATTAGTTGCAAAGTCAAGTAGCTACTTCAGCACCAGTTCTGTTTGGGGAAGAGCAAGTGAACAAAGATGCACTGTCTTTGTTTCCCAGCATTCTGGGTATGAATAATTTAGAAAAGTACTTGCATTGTGAGAAGCGGCCCAGTGTGTATAAATAGCACTGAAGTTTGCTTATGCTTTATTCTACTTTTTCCCAAAAGAAAAATTGGGGAAGCAATGTAATAACTTTGGTTATATTTGTATAAGAAAAAGAGCCAGGAAACAGAGCATTTATCCTGAATGGTGCTTCACTTTTGACAGGTTACTTGTGTTTTCATTTTAATCTTTGCTTGCTACCCAAAGAAATACTCCCTAAGGATCTCCTCCTGCTTGGTGCTTTCTGCTTCGATTTGACAAACAAGCAATTTGTATTGGTCTCTGCTCTGCTCCATAATTTTTGCAGAAGTTCACTGCTTTGTGATCAAACCTGTACATAAAGGAATCCTACGGAGGCACAGCGAAGTGTGATTACGTAGTTATGGACACACGGGCCTCATGATTCTTCAGCGGCAGACCATCTCCGCTCCCCATGGTTGTCTGCTTCATGGGGAGAAATCAACCAAGACTCCACATTTACTTTTTTGAATGACCCAAGAGAGACACTAATTGTATTCTCTTACCCACAGAAGTATTTTATTTTAAGTAGATACTGAGATTTTTTTCCCTCTCACTTTCTGACATTCCATTCATCTTTTCTCTTTAGGGGAGAAAAATATTTTGAGAGAGAGAAAAAACTACCATTGGAGTTCTTTTGTTCCCCTCTGACTTTTTGAGGCAGGTCCTGAGCTTGCAATGCTGCTTAAAACTTTCCACTTGAGGTCACAAAAGCCCCTGTGGTTAGTACCCATTCCTTCTATGCATGAAGCCTCTGTGGGAAGTGCTGAGAAGTCTGCTGGGGTAACAGCTCCCTGGGGTTACCTAGTTCATGCTTCATAGAGGCAGCGTAGCCACTTCAGAGGAAAATGGCTTTAAAAGAGCATCCTCGGGTTGTGCTGGCTTATGTGGTATATGCTTCTCCTTGGTGAAAATTCCTACTTAATACAGTTGTGGAAGAGGAAGTGATTGGAGGGTAGTAGGGGGCGTGAATCGAGGCTGATGGAAAGCCAAAAAGTGGAAATCTGGTTCAGTGTTGGAAATCTGGTGCTGAAAATGGCGACATGCCTGAGGGAAGGGGGTAAACATAGGAGTGTGTGAGGTTGAGGGAGGGGTTGGAGAAGGAATACTTTCTCTGTTTTCATCCTGAAAGAATCACAACTAATCATTTTAGCAAAGTGGCTTTAAATTACTGTAAGCATTTTAATCTTTTAAAAAAATTAATAAACTATTTTTAGAACAGTTTTACATTCCTAGCAAAATTGAGCAGGAAGTAAAGAGAGTTCCCATATAGCCCCCTTCCCCCACGCATAACCTCCCTGACTATTGATATCCAGCATCACGGTGGTACATTTGTTACAGTCAGCCTACACTAACACATCATTAATCATCTGCAAAGACCATTGTTTACATTGGGATTCACTCTTGGTATTGTACGTTCTGTGGGTTTGAACAAATGTATAAATGACATGTATCCATCATTGTAGCATCACACAGAGCAGTTTCACTGCCCTAAAAATCCTGTGTTCCACCTGTTTATCCCTCCTTTCCCCTAATCCCCCAACTACTGATCCTTTGACTGTCTCCATAGTTTTGCTTTTCCAGCATGCGTATGGTTGGAATCATATATCACAGATCCTTTTCAGATTGACTTCTCTCACTTAGCAATGTGCATCTAAGTTTCCACTGTGCTTTTTCATGGCTTGATAGCTTATTTCTTTTTTAACACTGAATAATATTCGATAGTGTGAATGTACCACAATTTATCCATTTACCTATTGAAGGACATCTTGGTTGCTTCCAAGTTTTGTCAATGATGAATAAAACTGCTGTAAACCCCCATGTGCAAATTAGCCAGGCGTGGTGGCGTGTGCCTATAACCCCAGCTACTTGGGAGGCTGAGGCAGGAGAATCGCTTGAACCCAGGAGGCCGAGGTTGCAGTGAGCCAAGATCGCACCACTGCACTCTAGCCTGGGTGACAGAGGGAGACTCTGTCTCAAAAAAAAAAAAAAAAAAAAAAAAAGAAAAGTGCAGGTTTTTATATGGACATAAGTTTTTAAGTTCATTTGGATAAGTGACAAGGTATGTGATTGCTGAATGGTTATGGTAAGAGTATGTTTGGGTTTTGTAAGAAACTGCCAACCTATCTTACAAAGTGGCGGTACCAGTTTGAATTCTCACTAGGAGTTCCTATTGCTCCACATCCTTGCTAGCATGTGGTGTTGTCACTGTTTGGGGTTTTGACCATTCCAATAAGTGTGTATTGTTTCTTGTTTTAATTTGTATTTCCCCAGTGACATCTAATGTTGAACATCTTTTCATATGCTTCCCTGGCATCTCTTTCATGGTTTTTCTTTTTTTTTTTTTTTGTTTTGTTTTTGAGACAGAGCCTGACTCTGTCACCTAGGCTAGAGTGCAGAGTGCGATCTCAGCTCACTGCAACTTCTGCCTTCCAGGTTCAAGTGATTCTCGTGCCTCAGCCTCCCGAGTAGCTGGGATTACAGGCCTTCACCACCACGCCGAGCTAATTTTTGTATATTTAGTAGAGACAGGGTTTCACCATGTTGGCCAGGCTGTTCTTGAACTCCTAGCCTCAAGTGATCTGCCTGCCTTGGCTTCCCAAAGTGCTGAGATTACAGGTGTGAGCCACTGTGCCCAGCCCCATCTCTTTTTTGATGAGATGTCTGTTCAGGTCTTTTGTCCATTTTTAAAATCAATGTTAGTTTTCATACTGGTGAGTTTTAAAAATTCTTTGTATAATACATTCTGGACAACAGTCCTTTATCAGATGAATCTTTTGCAAATATTCTACCCCAGTCTGTGGCTTGTCTTCTCATTCCTTTGACAGTGACTTCTACAGAGCATAAGTTTTTAGTTTTAATGACATCCCGATTTCAATTATTTATTTCATGGATATATAGTGCCTTTGGTGTTGTAGCTAAAAAGTCATTGCCATATCCAAGGTCATCTAGGTTTTCTCCTGTGTTTTCTTCCAGGAGTTTGATAGTTTTGCATTTTACATTTAGGTCTGTGGATACATTTTGAGTTAATTTTTGTTAAGGTGTAAAGTCTGCGTCCAGCTTCATTTTTTTGGCATGGATGTCCAGTTGTTTCAGCACCATTTGTTAAAAAGACTCTCTTTGCTCTGTTGTATTGCACTTGCTCCTTTGTGAAAGATCAGTTGGCTGTATTTATGTCAGTCTATTTCTGGACTGTCTGTTCCATTGATCTGTTTGTCTATTTTCCTAATACTACATTGTCTTGATTGATGTTATGGTAAGTCTTATAGTTGTTCCACATTGTGGGAATATTCTGTGCCAGGTTTTTTTTTAGTCTTTTTTTCTTTTTTCAGGTTTCTGTTGACAAATTGTGTGAAGCTCAGAGATCCTTTCCTTCTCTGTGTTTAGCCTACTAATGAGCCCATCAGGGGCATTCTTCATTTGTGTTAGTCTTTTTGATCTCTATTTTTTTTTTCGTTTTAGAATTTCCGTGTCTCTGCCTACGTTATCCATGTGTTCTTGCATGTTTACTTTTTCCATTAAAGCCTGTAGCATATTAACCACAGTTTAAAAAAATTCCTCTTCTGATAATTCCAGCATTCCTGCTGTATCTGACTCTGGTTCCGATGCGTTTTCAGTTTCTTCGGACTGTTGCTTTTTCCTTTTAGTGTGCCTTATAACTTTTTGTTGAAAAGTGGACTCGATATACTGGGTAAAAGGAACTGTGGTAAATAGACTTTTACCATAGATGGGGTGGTGAGGTCGGGGGTTGGCAATTTCTAGTCCTATGATTAGGTCTTAGCTTCTGGTGAGCCTGTGCCCCTGGCCTGTGAACCTCACCAGTGCTTCCCAGTTTTTCTACTGTTAGGTGGAACTGGATGGCTAGAGAAGACTGGAGTTGGGTATTTTCCTTCCCCCAGGTTAGATTCTGGTTAGTTTCTTTTGAGGTCAGACTTTTGTTTAGAGCAGAGTGCTCTGGAGTATTTCATAATGGTTCTTTTTTCCCTCCGCCTGCTGGAAGCATGAGAGGATTTTTCCCAATATTTGCTGAGAACCTGGTCAAGCTCCTGGAGGTAAAACCCACAGAAGTGTGGGGATCCCCTTTGCCTGGGTCCCCTTGGAGTGTTTTGGTTTTTTTTTTTTTTCCATCTCAGACTTGTCCACACTGAGCCTTCAGTGACTCATCAATTAAAGTTAAGCTTTTCCTACCAGGATGTTGGTTCCTGTGGAGTTTGTTGCTTCGTGGGTTTCTGCTCTGATAAGCTGTGATTCTCTGTATGCACCTGTAGGTTTCTGCAGTTTTAGGGGCAGCAGTTTACCATGTGACCTCACTTCTCTGATGGATCTAAGAAGAGTTGTTGCTTTTTCAGTTTGTTCAGATTTTTACTTGTTACGACAGAATGATGACTTCTAAGCTTCTTACGTACTTGGCTGGAAATTAAAAATTTAACATTTTTTATCAGATGAGAGAATGCCAGCTATAAAAGTTTTCTTGACCATTGAAGTAATAGTTTAACAGGTCAAAGTGTGACCTGCAGTAAGCCAACTCTGCCTCCCCTAGACCTTTGGAACAGTCATACCTGAGAACAGGGAGTGATGGACCTGCGGTCTTTGTCCTACTCACAGAGTTAACTAAATGAGTTTCTAGTATGTCTGAGGTAAACCAACATGATCACCACTTAGAAGGTACTTGCTTTACTTATAATTTGGTGGCAGTTCTCTTGTCCAGTTCTAAGACTTTGATATCCATAATATTTAAAATAATTTTAAGTACATGTTTTGCCTTGTGGAGAGTTTAGCAGTTTATTTTCATAGACTGAGATCTTTTTACAGTGTGATTATCAATAGCTATAGTGTGCTAAAATCAGTGGGCTTTCAAAGACACTTTAGTGAATCAATATGTCTTTATATTTCTATTGAAATGGAACTCTTATTCCTAGTGGTTGAACTGCGTTTTCATGAATTCTGTGAATTCTGTTATCAGTCGGGCCCTTTGTGGAAGATGCCAAAACTCATCAGTGGAAAGACTGCTCATTTTTTCTACATGTCTCCAAATTAAGGAAGCATCCTGATGTTGACAGCATCCTCTGTGCCCTAGGTTTGGGCACTGCACAGTGTGTGTATGACAGGGTTTGTGTTGTTTAATTCTCACAACAACCCTGCGGGGCAGCTGTTGTAGAGTTGGGACCACAGGATTGTGAGCTACAGCAGGGCTCCCCCAGGGCCTGTCTGGGCCCTTCTGTTTCACAGGGCCTCCCTGCTCTCAGCCATTTGGATGGACTCTAGCCACTTTGTTTCCTGTGCCTGCTGTTCCAAATTGTTGGTAGGGCAGAAAGTTTCAGAAAAAACATTCCACTTTCATTTACAGAGGAACTGTATAAGGTATTTTAACCCAGTTACTAGTTAAGTAATCTTACTTGACTAGGTGTGGTGTGAAATTAATCATGCTGTCTCACTGGAGCTTGCTTTTTCAGCTGTTTATTTCCTGAAGTGACCAGCAGTAGCTTTCATCTCCTTTCCCTCCTCCCGTTGTGCTCATTGAGAAAAGAATGTGATTATTGTTTAATTAAATGACTTGACTTTTATGGGATATTAAAGCAGGCAGGCTTTGATCTGTAACACCAGTGCCAACACCTTTTTTGAGGAAAGCTAAGATCCGCAGATTGTAATTAAAGACTTGAGACACAAAGCATGTAATTATTACGAGACATTTTCAGGGGACTGGCAAAATTGTGACTGCACGCGAAGTGCAGGCCAAGAACAGAACAGTGTTAGAGTATCAGGCACCTGGGCAGGTGTAAGATCATGGCCCCGTCATTTGCACGTTCTGCCCCTTTTCTGCCTCAAAGGGTGCCATAAATTCCACGTAACTGTTTCTTGGGGAACGTGGAGTCCCTGTGAGAGCTAATCCCCATGTCCTGCCTTCCAGATCGGCGCCAGTGGTGTGCCATAGCCATCCTCTTTGCAGTCCTGTTGGTTGTGCTGATCCTCTTCTTAGTGCTGTGACGGCGGGGCCTCTGGGTGCGAGTTCCTCCTGCATATGAACCGAGGGGAGGAGGAGAAGCTAAGCACGTGTGACATTGCCGTCTACTCACATTCCTATCCTGGAAACATACTGCTGCACTGACTTTTCTCCGTGTGACCCCACAATTGACACGGCTTCTCCATCCCAGCGCTGGAAGGGCCAGTGGGAAGAGGAAATAGATGTCTGCACTCCTGGCTGCAGCTGGACAACGGAAGCCCCATGCCACCTGTCCAGTGCTGAGGAGAACTAGCTGCTGCCTTGCTTTCCGGGACCTCGTTCGCTGAGGAGGGACTCACAGACTTCACTGGTGTTTTGCTGTTGCTCATTCCATGCATCTTTGGCAGCTCTTTTCTTCTGCTCAGACCCTTCCCTGTGCTCAGACAGTGCGCCGCTGTCCCATCAAAAGAAACCTGTCAGGAATGCAAGCTTCTGGGTATGTTTCGTTTCCCATTGCTGTAGCATTTCTTAGCCCCTGAGAGCTGATGATTATTGAGGACAGAAGGCTCAGAAACAGTTTGTGACAGAAAATGCAGTGTTTCATTTTTCAGGGATAAATGCTAAGATAAAATTGCTTTTCCAGGTCATTTTTTTTTGTGGTAAGAATAACTAGTGGAGAATAATGAAACACCCTGGGGCTTGGGGATGCTAACAACTTGTGGCTTTAACTGACAGGAGAAATTAAAAAGAGCAAGAGGGCTCTGCATTGGCATAGCTTAGGGAAGGGTTGATGGTGTCGCCAGAGGTCAGCTCCTGATCCTTGCCGACTTGATGTTGCTGTACCAGGGCTTCCTCCCCAGAGGTGCAGCTTGCGTTTTGAGGGTAATTCCTACATATGTTGTTGCTAAATAGCTCAGTAACACACTTGAATAGATTTGGATACCAGATTGTCCTTATTACAGTTCTTTTACTCCTAGGGCACTCTACATTGGGGGTGGGGGTTGGGAGTGGTTAGTACAGTTATTACATTTATTCAGAAACGTAATGACATAAAAGATTAGCTCTGGGCCAGACTTCTCTTACCCTGTGGGTAATGGCAAGGATGTGTAGGTGAACTTGGTTCTTTTTTTTCCCCTAAGATGACAGCTTGATTTTATCATCTGCAGTCAAGTAACTGAGCCAATCCAAATTTAAATGATAGATGCTTTAATTGAGTTTAAGTAGCTGAAACTGCTGAGACACTAAACTTTAAGCTTCTGATGACTTTTTAAATGCCTCAAATGTGCACATGTATATAGGATATTTTTATAACTTCCCTGATGAATTATCTGATATTAAAGTAGTATTTGGACCCAGAGCCAGAACTCGGTGGTGGAGGCTGCTGGTCTCTCCTCACCACCTTCTTTTGCACTTGGAAAGAACAGCAACATCTGGATAGAGTTCTAGCTTTGACTTCTCATTTCCTCGTCTTTTTGGGTGCATTCCTCAGCACATTTTTTTTTTAACCTTTTTGTTTTGTTTGTATTTCATGTGGTTTTGTTTGGGGGTTTTGGTTTTTTCACCCTTTTTTTGTGATTTGCAATGATGTGCTTGCCCAGCTAACTTTTGAATTGCACTTTTTAATAAATATTCGTAACAATTTTTGAAGAAGGATATTTTATCTCATTTGAGATCATGGTAGGTTAAGAAAATATGCCTGTTGATGAAAGCTTAAAAGCAAATTTGTGAAACTAAAAGGGTGATTGACATCCATGTTTACACTCCACTCTAATGTTTGATATATAAATAAGTTATTTTCAAATTAGGAAAAAAAAATGAGTATTACAAAGGGCTTCAGATGTGTAGAGTACTAGGTTATTTATGTTTTACAAAGTTTGAATCGTCTATAAACTAAGAAAGGGGATGATCTTTAGATTTGCATTAAAATACAGAAATCTTTTAAAGTGAATGTGGACCTTGTCTAAGTACTGTAATCCACACAGCACATTATAAGAAGTAAACCACCATCTTAAAGAATTATAAAATTACCTTATTTAAAAGCCATGCTATTGTTCTGCTATTACCAGATTTATTGTGCCACACAAAAGGATCATGTGTGTCAGCAGGGGCCGTTTGGAGCAAACCTAGTCATTAATGAGTAAGATACTCCTGTTAGTTCAGGCACCAAGTTTTATGACCCAGAGGCTTAATGATGTTTGGATATATTTCAAATAGACGTGCTTACGTCACTGATTTAAAGTATTTTCTAAATAGTGGCCATTGTAGACCTGACTCAGGCTGAAGCTAAATAGATAACAATTTAGAAAGTTAACTGAAAATACGGGGCATTCTCCCCATAGGGCCACCATGCCCTTCTGCCCCTGGCTGACTTGATCCTGGGTCTGATCCTGTTGCACCCTGACTGGGCAGCCCCTGCAGAACCAGTGTTAATTTGAAGGGCCTCCACTCAGGCTCCAAATGTGGCAGCCAAAGAGAACAAGCCGGGGAACCTACATTTATTGTTAAGGACAAATATTTCCTCCTCAGTGATGCTAATGTTCAGGGCTTTAGAGGGAACCCAGGTGATCTCTTCACCCTGTGTCCTAGAATGGGAGAGTAAGTAGACAGCGGTGATAACCCCACACTACTTATAAGCGCATCCTTAGAGCACTTGGGGCTTTCTTTCCCCTTTCGCCTTCTGTACCTAGTACCATATTCCAGTTTTAAAGAACTGGCAGAATGTGATGGATAACAGAGAAAGAGCTCAATTTATGTTTATTGGAAGAACATTTTACTTAAATGATTTGAGGGGTGGGAGGGAACGAACAATTGAGTTTGCCAGAGTGAAAATCCATCTGAAAAACTAAACTACCTTTAGTTTTTAGTCCTAATTTTTGGTGTTGTCTCTGTGGACGGTGAAGAATCACAATGCTCTGTGTGCCCTGGACTGTGTGGCAAATGCAGGTTGCAGCGTGTGTGTTACATGAGGATCTTCCACAATTTCAGAATGCACGCCAGAGCTGTAGGGGAAACTTGGTAACTTGCCCATTATTCTCTGCTTTTAGCCAGAGTTAAACAGACTGATGGGTCTGGTAGCCAACAACTTGGCAACTTCCCCTCCTTCTCACCTCGTGAGATTAAGGGCTGTGAAAAGAAATCTAGTCTAACTCCAACAGAAATCTGTCTCTGTTAAGTGTTTTACCTTCTGTAAGTAGAGATGGTAGAGCCAAGATTTTTCTTTTGGTAATTTCCCTGTCTATAAAGTGAGACCACAGGGATATCTGTTCCCTGTTACCTTTTTGGAGAATTCATAACATTTGAAGATCAAAAAATTGAATGATAAATATGAATGGCTTTTCAATTCTGTGGGCTTTGTACCGTTTGGCTTCACCTTGTACTGCAAGATGAATTTGTAAACAAAACAAAACTGGATTGTCTGGAAAGCTAAAGTTCTAAAATATGGAATGTACTGCCTCTAATTTTTCTTTGTCTTCCTCTCATTGGCATTTTTTTCTCTCCCAGGTTTCTTAAGAATAATGTTTTTTAAAGGAGGCTTTTTGCCCATCAAGAATAAAAAGAAATAAAACCAAAGGGTTACCGGACTTAAGCCCCCACAGTCACTGTGCACCATCCCTGAGCAAAGTCCGCCTCTGAGGACAGTGCCCCTGCCCCAGTGACAGGCCTTGCTCCTCCCAGGGCCTTTGCTTCTGGTTAAGGGGACGTTTCATTACTGGCTGGCCTGAATAGGGGGTGGTCTGTCTTTCTTTCTCTCCTTTTTTTTTTTTTTTTGATTAAAAAAATAAAACCAAACCAGAATTTATTGAAAGCAGGTAACTTCCGGTAGCTCCGATTAGGGTAACTCAGCTTAGAGATACTGTTACTCAGGACAACAGTATGTACAAAAGTCTCCGGAAGAGGAAAACGAAACAACCTGAAAACAATTCAACTTGAAAAGGATTGAATCACTAGAATGATCATATTGCAGAATAACACAAAATGCAACGAAGAGCCACCCAAGCCTGAGGGTAAGAACTCTACTTCCCAGATTCTTGGATCACAGCCTATGACTTTTTGGGGCACAGAGGCTGGCTTCAGCATGAGGATCTCACCACTAACTGCATGTAACGTATCCATGCATTGGGCAGACGCTAAACACACAGAATGAGGCCACCAGACAGGGTACACATGAACCCATGAGATCGGTGCTCTCTGCAGAGTCTGTAGACCTGGCAGGGGACCATGGATAGCTTAGAGGTACTTACTCTGCAGCTGGTCACATAAGACCGTAGACTGGTCTAAGCCCTACAGTTCCCTTATCCAATTGTCCACTAACCAGTGAGAGAGAGGAGCAAGACTTGGAAGCTGCTTCCAAACCAATTTTTGGTCTACAGTAAACAAGGATAAACATAAAACACCATTCCACAGGCCAGCTTCAAAGGAACTAGTGGGCAAAGAAGGTGAGAGATCCCAAAGCCCCATTTAGTAACCCCCACTGAAGGAGGGGGATGGGTGTGAGTGGTGAGATATCCTGTTCTGCTGCTGTGGGCACCCCTGTGACCTGTCCTGCTGTACCATCCGGGCCTTGATTCGTACGGTTCCCCCTACTTCCTAGATGTGCACTCTCATGGCCCAGAGCTCTCACCTTTCTGAGCCTGATCCTCCTGGACTCCTGCATACACAGAGTGGAAATGCCAGATCCTGAGGGTTCTCTGAGGAGAGTGAGGTGGCAGTGTTTTTGAGAACATGGGGTCCTTCCATGCCATGTCAGTTGCAGATGGGGCAGGCCAGAGGATGCTGAGTTACAGGAGGCAGAGAGCAGTCACTCAAAGAGCAGGGAGGAGAATACAGCTGGGAAAATGACGAGAAGTTTCCATTGCATGGACTCAGCAGGGGATTTCTGGGGTCAGCTCGGTTATGAGGCATAAACAGCAAAGCTTGAAAACTGATGTGAGAACAGTGTGTCTCCCCTTTTCCAAATTCCCCAGAGGAACCTACTCCCTGCTCTAGAACTTCACATCAAAGAAACAATGCACCTGATGGGAAGAAGTCTTTTCAGGACCCCAGAAGTGCCCATTGGTGGCCCATCAGAACAAGTCTGGCTGCTTCTCATTTTTGGGTCTGCAGATTTGGGCAAGATGGCTAGAGGGCTGGAGGTTTCCCAAGGCCTCTAGATGCCGTTGTGCAAAATCAGTCCTCCACACATCACTGGCCAGTAGTAGTATGCTCGCTCCACCACCCACTGGCAGTGAGGAAGATCTTTTTGCTGTCAGAGAGGGCTGCCATTCACTAACATGCTGTAAGTCCGTTCCCTGGCTGCTGGAGTGCACAGGCGAGGGGGTCTTGAAGACCCTCGTGTCAAACTTGAGTGTCAGGCCTGCAGTTGGTTTCACCATAGATAACCCTTGTTGCCCTGCAGCTGGGGTAACTGTTATGGTGTGTCTTGACCTTTTGCTCTTCCTCTTCCTTGTCTGAACTGAGTTCCCTTCTTGGGTAAAGGACGACCTTTATGTTTATTTTCTTCTTCCACTATCCTGTCGCTCACGTGCACAGGAGTCCCACCTTATCTGTGGTTTCACTTTCTGAGGTTTCAGTTATCAGAATGGGTTGCACCAGAAAGCACGAGCCTATACAAAGACATCATCAAGGGAGTCCTTATATATATAAGGGAAGAAACAGTTCATCATCTAGTCAGTACAATCTGCGGTTTCAAGCATCCACTGTGGGTCTTGGAATGTATCCCTGCAAAAAGGCACTGGGGCAGGGGGCACTTCTGTGTACTTCAAAACATGTACACGATGAAAACACAGTGTTATCTGTCAATCTGAAAACAAAATCGCCATGACTTCTGGGCACTGTAGTCCTACCTGTGGACTGGCTGCCTGACTGTGGAGCGTCCTCGTATTGGACATTAAGGGACTGTCCTAAGATGGCGACTTCTCATTTGGCAGCCTGTGGCAGCTGAGTTTGAATTTGGTGGTGGCCGTCGCGTGTTAGGGTAGCCATAGAGCTGTTCCCTCTCAGCTACAGCAGCAAGCACAGTTTCACTTGACCCATTTTACACCTGTTGTCTCCACCCAAGCACCATGGCTCCAGCTAGGAAGGGCGGCTGTTGGGTGGCCAAGACCAACTCGTTATAGAGCCAGAAGCTGACCTCCTTTCTTAAGGATTTCAACCGTGAAGTGCAAATACTATGGAAGCCAATTCAGTCAGGCAGAACCTCTCCCAGAAGATTGACAAGCTGCATGACCAGGCCACTCAGCGGCTTCCTGAGGCACAGTGTGCCATGAACTGGTAATGCACAGACTGTGCATTCGTAGCTGTTTCGTGAGTAATATGCACAGTGCGTGTCTTGGGTATTTTAAAGTACATGAGAGGGTTGTTTCAGCAGCTGATGGGATGCCAAATGTTTGACTTTTTATTATTCCAGCCCTTCAGATTTCCCCAGAATTGTCACCTTCTAGAGCGTGTGTCTTCCCAGTGCGTTCCGGAAATTCTCTGTACCACTGCCGTGTTGCTCAGAAAACAACAGAGCTTTCAGTCAGTTCAGGTAACCTTAGAATCTGCGCTGATGCCTCAGAAAGGAAGAAAGGCCAGGACGGCTTTGGCTTGGGTGGCACTCTTAGTTCTCCCTTGGTTTCACTTCCTTTTCCATTTTGGTGGCTTCCCATTTCATCCCATAGCCTCCTCTCAGAGGCTGTCCCACCCCTCCTCCCCCCAGCTCCATTCTTCCTACTCTCTGGCCCATTTGTGTCCTCAGAGGTCTGGCTGTTGCCACTGCACCTGCCTCAGACCCAGTGTCACCTCGCCAGGGTTTCAGCCAGCCTGGCCTTCCAGCTGCCACCCAGCAGCTCAGCTCAGCAGAACCTTCTGGCCCAGACCTTCACTCCCAACTCCCGCCCAGGGACAAATGCAGAAGCCTCTGCTGGTGCAGCCAACACGGAGTGGGGGCAAGGGGAAGAGGAAAAGCAGCAGCTTCCTGTGCTTCCCAGCTCAGAGCATTGGTAAGAGTGGGTGGAATTTGGCATTCTGCTTCTACCATTTTGAATGAATTGGCCTATTCTTTATACCGTCACCCCTCCCTTCCAAATCATTCATTCTGGTGTGCAGCCCATTTCTGTCTGTCTTCTAATGATATGACCAGAGCTGCCATGTAAGCTTGTGCCCTGCACAAGGATAGATACCCCACTGGGGAACAAACGGGACCAAAATTCACTCTGTGTTCTGCTGGCCAAGCCAGGTGACCTGGCCTGGGCTGCGTCCTCCCAGAAGAAGGGTTCATTTTTCCAGTTTGCACATGTGCTATTTGTGGGTTAGCTGAGGCCCTGCTCATGTCTTCGGTTGGTTCACAAACCAGAAACAGAACAAATGGCCAGAAATTAGTGTTATAATCAAACTAGATTTACAACCAAGGCACGCTGAGTGGCATTATGGGTTTTATCCTGCTGCATGGCAAGGCGTTCATGCATGGGCTGTGCTCAGTGTCCTTTTTACTCAGCCATGCCAACCATGAGGAAGCAGGAAGGGAGCTTGTTGGAGAAGGCGGCCTCAGTGAGAGCCTTGGTGCATTCCCCTGAAGCCACAATTTGGGACTTCTCCCTCAGCAGGGGTCCCCACAGTCTGAGTGTTTTTCAGAAATCTTGGGTCCAAGGGACCCCAATCTTTTTTTTTTTTTTTTTTTTTTTTTTTGAGGTAGAGTCTCACTCTGTCGCCCAGGCCAAAGTGCAATGGTGTAATCTCGGCTCACTGCAACCTCCGACTCCCAGGCTCAAGTAATACTCGTGCTTCAGCCTCCTGCCTAGTAGCTGGGACTACAGGTCCGTGCCACCAAGCCAGGCTAATTTTTGTATTTTTGGTAGAGATGAGACCTTGTTGGCCAGGTTGGTCTCGAACTCCTGACCTCAAGTGATCCACCCGCCTCAGCCTCCCCAAGTGCTGGGATTACAGGTATGAGCCACTTACGCCCAGCTGGTGGGACTCCAAATCTTCTGTCCAGACCCCGGGGTCTGAACTCATATTTAACTACTGAAAGGCATCAGGATCTCCCCTCTAGTTGAACTTGACCTTCTTACTGAGAACCAGCTGGGCAGGCATCAGATGCCTCAGGCTCCAGAGGAGAAGCTGGTAGGCAAATAGATCAGGAGCAACTGCTTTCACCATCAGGGATGAAAGTTGAAGGCCAAGAACACTTCCTTGTCCTGTGGTGCAGGAGTTGGGATGGAGGAGCGAGTCTTATAAATGGAAGAGAACTAAGTGTTGGGATTTAAAGGAAGGACTTTGCCGCCTGCCCCCAAGTGCCCCCAAACCCTCCAAAATTCCACAGATTCCCTTGGCTTAACTCCTCTCACAGAGGTAAGCTAAGGTAGTCAGTCTCACTGTAGCTGTGGTGAATTCGTTTAATGATCTTGGTTTCCTAACTGCTAGATAATCCAGTGGAGCCAGAAAGTTTTGGTGGATTGAGGGAACCTACAGAGGTTGGGTAGAGATGTATTAGGAGTTGAATTGTTTCCCCCTGCAAAAATTCATGAAGTTGTAACCCCCAGGACCTCAGAATGTGGCCTTCTCTGGAAATAGGGTTGATATAATTTGGGAAGGTGAGGTCATCCTGCAGTAGTAGGGTGGGCCCCTAATCCAGTATGACTGATGGCCTCATGAAAAGGGAACAGAGCCCTACAGTTTACACAGTGCTTTTATGCACATTTTTCTTATCCATTTCTGTAGGGTAGGCTTTATCATACCTGTTGATTTCACTCAAGTTTATTGCTTTTTTGGCCTACCATCTGTTAGCCTCACTTTTTCTAACTGCAGGAACCCCTTCTGCCAAACACAGCGTATTTTGGAAAATGACCCTACCCCATTCCAACATGTGCTTGTGTTGAGCGGCACCAATCTTAATCCTCCTGCCCAGCCCTAGCCTAAAACAGTGTGTGTGCTGGTTGGGCTCTCCCTGTGAGTCCCCAGCTAATCTCATCTCTGCCCTTCCGTGCCCCAGGAGGCTGTACGCATCAGACTGCACTTCCAGAGCCCCCGGCCTCTGGTTGGGTTCGGCCATTGCAATGAGCATCCTCAAAAAAGACCAGAGAGCTGGAGGAGAGAGAGTTTGGGGCTTCATTCCCCAACCCACCTCACTACAGTCCCACCGGGGGCCACGGTCACAGCTCTCACAAGGAGCATCCTCTGCCTGGGGAGCAGCTCTTGCTGAACTATGATAACAGTATTCTCTTTTACCCTTCACCTCTGGTGGAGGTAATGCTTCCCTCTGTGACACATCTCTGGACACTTCACCATCCCATACTGGTTTCCTCAGTCCTGATTATCCCCCTACAGATGCTGTCTTTGTTGAATTCATTTAAACCATATTGAGTGTACCATTTAGTTCTTGCCAGGGCTGTTAGCTATGGCTTGTCTTAGAGGCTTATCCTGATGGTCTTGGTGATTCGGCCCAGAGGTGCCACATGATCTAACGCACGTCAGAGTCCTCCTGTGACTTCCTTTTCCTTGTAGTAACCAGAGCCAGGAGAGAGACGCCCATTCTTATAGAGTGGTGATGTGTGGAGGATACGAGCTTTGTGCTGGCAGCCACGTCCCTACCTCATGGATAAAATCATTCACATCTTGGTTTTGATCTCTCAGGTCCCCACACTGCCCTGATTCCCACCTTTAAAATAGCATCCCACTTTGTGCTTGAGCCGGTTTACATAGGTTTCTGTTACCTGCAACCATTAAGAGATAGTTTTTCAGCTAGGGAATGGGAGAGTCAAAGCTCAGACTCCAGTCATCTGCCTCCAAAGCCTGTACTTTTGGCAGATGCTCCATATTCATAAGTGTGGCCAGATACCTCCCCTGCTATTGGCCACAACTGAGAAAACCCCTCCTACTCCTGTGAGGAAAGGCACCTGTGTCTAGGTATTTCCTGTAGCATGATGCAGGGGTAATGCATTTTGAATAATAAGATCATACACGAAAAGTTCTGTATTAACTAAAAGTTGACCAATTGAATCGTATCTTTAAGGTATAAGAAGAGCTCTTTGCTGGAAGGAATCTTGTCATTAAGCTGTTAGTAAAGCAGAGATCCTCTGTTTGTCCTGGTAAATCCAGATTTTCAGTCCTACTGGTGGTGTGTGAGCCCTTTGTTAACTAAACAATTTGTAAGAATTGCTCCACCTCCCAAAGAATTTCCCAGCTTATCATTGACGCAAGAATTTGCCTCAATGGATCCCCAAAAACAAGGTGCCCTTGGAGGTACTCTGTCAAGAAAAGGGGAACTGTCAAATCTTGTCAAGATGCTACCCAGAAGTAACCAGAGAAAGTTCGTGGGGGGCTCTAGCCATGAGATCACAACAGGCCAACTAAAGAGATGGCTTCAGGATAGGGTGGATGTAACCTACATCAGAGGAGTTATGTACAGAAACAGTTGTTCAGGCAATGCAGGAACAAGGCCTCCTCTCTTTACCTGTTCTTTGTAGGGTGTCTTCCCCATAGGCTCTCCCTGTGAGCCCCCATCTCATCTCATCTCTGCCCTTCCATGCCCCAGGAGGCTATACGCATCAGACTGCACTTCCAGAGCCCCCGGCCTCTGGTTGGTTTTGGCCACTGCAATGAGCATCCTCAAAAAAGACCAGAGAGCTGGAGGAGAGAGAGAGGCTGGGGCTATGGAATCTCTTTAGCCAGGCAATACATTCTTTTTCCAGCCAATTCTTTTGATATTGCAACTCATGCTGATTGGCCTCCCATGCCCGCTTGACGGTGTGAGCCACATTATCTACAGCCAGCCAGGAGAGGCTGTCTTTATTGAAGATCAGGAAATCTGCCCGTCATATGCATACTGCAGAAATCCTGTGGTGCTTCCGTCCTCCAGCAGCTCACAGCCAATCATTCTCTGGTAAGTGTGAGACCCTGGAACACACATGCAAGCCCAGGGGGGTCCACACAGGGACAGAGGTGGACTCTCAAGTGCTGGGAGTGGGGGCATGGCTGGAAGCATCCTCTGGTCTACATTACCTCACCCCCCAGGCCTGCTGTGGCATTGCTGAGTCCCCAGGAGGTCCCTCTTGTGGAAGCCCACCTGACAGCAAGGTTGTTTTTTAAATTTTTTGTTGTTGTTGTTCAAATAGCTTTAGGGATACAAGTAGGTTTTGGTTGCATGGATGAATCGTGTAGTGGTGAAGTCTGGGCTTTTAGTGTATCTGTCGCCCGAATCATGTATGTTGTACTCGGTAGGTGATTATTTTCACCCCTCGCCTACCTTCCACCCTTACCCTTCCTGAGTCGCCAGTGTCCATTATACCACTCTGACAACAGATATTTGTGAAGTACCTACTGCATGCCAAAGGAGTGTGATGTGTGATAATTCCTGCCTTGGGAAGTTATCCTGTAATAGGAATGATTGATTGATAAACTGTGGCTATTTGAGTGCAGTGGAGGAGGGAGAGAGAGGCAGGAGCCAGAAATATCACTGGGAAAGTTAATGTCATTATGCATAAGCAAGCAAGTCACTAGGCCTGGCTACCAGGAAGTGAGACACAGAATGGGCAAATTTAGAATGGGAAAGGAGATGGGGATATTGGGAAGGGGGATGCGGCAGAGGATAAAGGGCTCCTGGGGGAGAGAGGAACAGTCCAGAAGATGCACAGGCAAATGGGAAGCTCTGAACTCCACCAACCGGATTTCCCAGGTTTTGCCAAAAGCCACAGCAGGTGCAAGTCAGCATTGCTCGTTGGAGGTCAGCCCAGGGCCCTCTGCGGGGTGGGGGAAGCGTCCATCTCTGCCGCATGCACACCTGAGTGATTGTAGTGCCTCTGCAGGCGCTTCAGTTCCACCTTGAACGTCTGCTGCCAGCCCCTCAGCAGCTGAGTGTACCTCTCCCAGTGATCAGGCGCGAGGTTCTCTGCCATCCATGGGGCCCGCGGCTCCTTCTGCCAAGTGACACTGTCATATGTGGTGATAGGCTGTGAGTCCACATACCCAACTGAAATAAATTCAGGGACCCCATGGCCAGGATCCGAAACGCCCAGAAAATATCTCAGAGAGTGCGTCCCTGGGAAGGAGGCAAAGAAGGAAGACATGTAGGGTCCCAGACTATCCAGATCCTTCATCTGCATTCATTTAGCCCCACACGAGTGCTCCCTACTCAGCTATATCCAGGCCTCCAGGCCCCAGCTGCCGTTTCCGCTTACAGAACCACAGAACCCAGGAACCAGGGCCTGGACAAGAACAGAGCTCCAGCCCAGTGACTTGGAGCCTTTCTTGTTCAAGTTTGCAAATGTAGGATGGAATTTTATAGGTAATCTCAACTCATAAGCAAAGTACAGAGCAAGCTTGTCCAACCCATGGCCCAGGATGGCTTGGAATGTGGCCAACACAGAATTTGTAAATGTTCTTAAAACATGAGGTTTTTTTGTGATTTTTTTTTTTTAGTTTATCAGCTATTGTTAGTGTATTTTATGTGTGGCCCATGACAATTCTTCCAATGTGGCCCAGGAAAACCAAAAGATTGGACACCCCTGGTATAGAGTGCTGCTCTGGTTATAGGGGGAATGGGGAAGACACAGGGGGAGCTATCCCTGCGGGAGCCCTCAAAAACTCTGAGGTCTTGAAAACCCTGATAATCCAGCCCTCTTGTTTTACCAGAGAAGTCTGTGGGTGGATAAATGAGGATCCCTACTCCACTTCTGTGTGCCGGTGTGAGCACACACACACAAACACGTGCGCATATACAGCAGCTCCGTCAGAACGAGATTCCTGTTAGGACTCAGGCCTAAGTGACTATCAGGCAGGTCGTGTCTATAGTGTGGAGATGTTGGACAAAGGGATGATTCATGTTCTGAATGGAACCATATGAGATTTCTTCACGCTACCCAGAATAGTGTGCAATTTAAAACTTATGAATTGTGTATTTCTGGAATTTTCCATTTAAATTTTTGGAATGCGGTTGACCACTGGTAGCTGAAACCATGGAAAGTGACAGCAAGGATAAGGGGCTACTACTGTTCGTACATTGTGGAATGGTTAGATCTAGCTTCCTAACAACTGTATTACCTCATATCGTTCGCATAGAGATGATTTTTTTTTTTTTTTTTTTTTGAGATGGAGTCTCTCTCTGTCACCCAGACTGGAGTGCAGTATTGTGATCTCAACTCACTGCAACCTCCACCTCTTGGGTTCAAGCAATTCTGATGCCTCAACCTTCCAAGTAGCTGGGATTACAGGCGTGCCCCCCAACACCTGGCTAATTTTTGTATTTTTAGTAAAGATGGGGTTTCACCATGTTGGCCAGGATGGTCTTGAACTCCTGGCCTCAAGTGGTCCACCCGTCTTGGCCCCACAAAGTGCTGGGATTACAGGCATGAACCACCGTGCCTGTCCAAGATGGTCTTCCTTTAATGTCCAGCTGCCTGCACCCAACTCCCAGCCTTAAAAAAAAAAAAAGCTTATACTTCAAATAGTGAGGTCTTATTCTTGTGGGGCTCACATTGGTCTGCTGTATATAAACAGGATGCCATTCTCACCTGTTTATTTGCCAATTAATTAATGCTCACTGGGAAACTGTGCTCGCTGGTGTTGAATCCAGAACACCAAGAGAGTTTCGAGTAGAGTAGAATGATCCCTCAGCCCTGAGCAGCATTGCTATGAATCTCATGATGGAAGCCCATGCTCAGTAACACAGGGTGGAGGTCAAACTCCAAAACAGCTGCCTTCTGTAGTTACCATCTTTAAGGACAGACTCAGAGGCTCAGCCCCTTATTAGCCATGAAAACAATTACAGCTCACCACAACATACATGGTAGCCATTTGGTGCAATGCATTTTGGATTTGGCCGTTAGAAACTGCATTTTCTCTGGGACGACCCTAAGGCACTTACCAGGGGGCAGACTGATGCTAACTTGTCATATATCCTCCTCACCGCTGGTGACTTGCCTTTTGCAAATACCGAAGCTCTGAAAGGTATAGTGGCACCTTGGTCAGGTTGCTGCAATCTAGATAAATTCTGGAGTTCTTTATTATATTAAAGCCTCTTTATTAATACAGATTGAGGGGAAGAGGAAGAAAGAAGCAGCTTGGTTTTTCTCTGCCATAAATGAACATGTTGGTGCTGTTTTTCTTCAGACATGCCCTTTGTGCAGAGCTGCCCTTCCCCAGGGCTGTGTGGGCGTTAACTGTGCTTAGACAGCGATTGTTCCAGCTGCCTGCCCTACTGCTTGGGTTTCACATGAACATTTCATGCAATGCACCTGGTTTGCCAACTGCGGCCAGACCTTTGTGCAAAATTGTATTTTACCACTTTTTAAAAGGTTATGAGCTGTCAAACCTGGAGGCCACTTGGTTATTCAGGGGGTGTTTGGAATAAGACCACCCGGCTTCGTTCTTTGCTGACCAAGGCCCTGTTCCCTGGTGTTCGTGGCAGCCCAGTGCTCCGCTCCAGCCAAGCTTTCCATCAGCCCTGGGGTGGGACCGAGTTCAGGGTTTTTTCCTGCTCTGCAGAAAGCAGATTTTAGCTGAGATCATCCTACTGAAGGACAACTGTGACCCTGCAGTTAAAGTCTGTTCTGGGAAAAGCAGATGTCTTCATCTTCAGGAAAGTAGAGTATCTGTGCCCTGTCATCTGTGTGGGGCAAGGAGAGGACAGCCAGGTGTCCCGCCAATATGTTTTTGGAATTGCTTTTAGATTCCATGTGATTACTTCGTAACTGACACAGGCTGGGCTCCAGCTCTCAACAAACAGACTTCAGAGAATGCTGGGGGTGAGGGGTGACCTAGAAGCCATCTAGGAAAGGGCCAGAGAAAGCAAGCTGAAACCCATTATGGGTTCTGTTTCTCTAGCTGGAACTATCCTTTCACCGGCTCATTCATAATCAGAAATTAGTCTAATTCAAAGACAGAATGTGTAATATGTGACAAAAGTCAGCAGGAATAAACTATCATGTTTTTTCCAAGGATAAATAACCTTATGGTGTTTTCATGTTAAATAACTAGAAGATACAAACCAAAGAAGTAGGATCAAGAATTAGAATTACAAATCCATGGGTGGTTTCCAGATGATGCCTGACTCCTCGACATAAAGAGAGGAGGGCTAGAGCCCTAGTGTCATGGTTTACAACCGTGAGACACAGGTAAATTTTTGTTTCCTGTGTATGGCAGGTCTCCAGGTGTGGTGTGGGACCAGCAGTCGCATCTCTGCATGGAGGACTTGCTGGAAATGCAAGGCGAGGCCCGCAGTGTGTTTCACCATGGCCTCCTGGGGGTTCTGTTGCATGCTCTAGTTTGAGAACCACTGCTACATGGACTTTAGGTTACAGTAAAACAATAACCCCTGCAAAATGAAACATTATCCATGGCTTTGATTTTCATCATAATGTGAAATAAAATCTGATGACACTATAAACTTAAAACCCTAATCCCCCCAAAGTACTGTGTAAAACAAAAAACTAGCCATCCTTAAAAGTAATATTTTTACACCATGAAGTCTCAGTTACTCTTGAGATCATATTACAACTATATGAAGAATATTGTTCGGCATTAAAGAAGTGGAGATGCCACAAGCCTTGGCCTGGGTGTTTTTTGTTAGGTTGTTTCTTAGTTTTGTTTTTAGTTCTTTTCACACCTAAGCACAGCTCTGTTCTTCTCCTCCCACCCCCTCTAATAAAAGACATGTGCATCTGCCTGGGGTAGGAAAAGTTTGTAACTGCTGGAATATCTGAATTATCAATTATGCTTTCTCTGGCTGAGCAAGTTATATGAATTCTTAAACCCCCAAGTAGCCTGATATGGTTTGGCTGTGTCGACATTCAAATCTCAACTTGAATTGTATCTCCTAGAATTCCCACATGTTGTGGGAGAGACCCAGGGGGAGGTAATTGAATCATGGGGGCTGGTCTTTCCCGTGCTATTCTCGTGATAGTGAATAAATCTCATGAGATCTGATGGGTTTTATCAGATTTCTGCTTGTGCTTCCTCCTCATTTCTCTCTTGCTGCTGCCATGTAAGAAGTGCCTTTCACCCTCCGCCATGATCCTCCCCAGCCAGGTGGAACTGTAAGTCCAATTAAACTTCCTTTTCTTCCCAGTCTCAGGTATGTCTTTGTCAGCAGTGTAAAATTGGACTAATACAGTAAATTGGTACCAGTAGAGTGGGGCATTGCTGAAAAGATACCCGAAAATGTGGAAGTGACTTTGGAACTGGGTAACAGACAGAGGTTGGAACAGTTTAGAGGGCTCAGAAGAAAACAGGAAAATGTGGGAAAGTTTGGAACTTCCTAGAGACTTGTGGAATGGCTTTGACCAAAAGCCTGATAGCGATATGAACAATAAGGTCCAGGCTGAGGTGGTCTCAGATGGAGATGAAGAACTTGTTGGGAACTGGTGCAAAGGTGACTCTTTTTATGTTCTAGCAAAGAGATTGGCTGCATTTTGCCCTTGCCCTAGAGATTTGTGGAGCTTTGAACTTGAGAGAGATGATTTCAGGTATCTGGCAGAAGAAATTTCTAAGCAGCAAAGCATTCACATTGTGACTTAGGTGCTGTTAAAAGCATTCTGTTTAAAAAGGGAAACAGAGCATAAAAGTTCAGAAAATTTGCAGCTTGATGATACAGTAGAAAAGAAAACTCCATTTTCTGGGGAGAAATTCAAGCCAGCTGCAGAAATTTGCCTAAGTAGCAAAGAGCCCAATGTTAATCTCTAAGACCATGGGGAAAGTGTCTCCAGGCCATGTCAGAGACCTTCACAGCAGCCCCTCCCATCACAGGCCTGGAGGCCCAGGAGGAAAAAGTGATTTCATGGGCCAGGCCCAGGGTCCCCGTGCTGTGTGCAGCCTAGGGACTTGGTGCCCTGTGTCCCAGCCACTCCAGCCATGACTGAAAGGGACCAATGTACAGCTTGGGCTGTGGCTTCAGAGGGTGGAAGCCCCAAGCCTGGGCAGCATCCATGTGGTGGTGAGCGTGCAGGTGCACAGAAGTCAAGAATTGAGGTTTGGGAACCTCCACCTAAATTTCAGAAGATGTATGGAAATGCCTGGATGCCCAGGCAGAAGATTGCTGCAGGGGCGGGGCCCTCATGGAGAACCTCTGCTAGAGTAGTGCAGACGGGAAATGTGGGGTTGGATCCCCCACATAGAGCCCCTACTGGGGCACTGCCTAGTGGAGTTGTGAGAAGAGGGCCACCATCCTCCAGATCCCAGAATGGTAGATCCATTTACAGTTTGCACTGTGCACCTGGAAAAGCCACAGACAATCAATGCTAGCCCGTGAAAGCAGCCAGGAGGGTGGGTATACCCTGCAAAGCCACAGGGGCAGAGCTGCCCAAGACTATGGGAACCCACCTCTTGCTGTCAGCATGAGTTGGATGTGAGATACGGAGTCAAAGAAGACTATTTTAGAGCTTTAAAATGTGACTGCCCTGCTGGATTTCAGACTTGCATGGGGCCTTGTAGCCCCTTTGTTTTGGCCAATTTCTCTCATTTGGAACGGCTGAATTTACCCAATGCCTGTACCCCCATTGTATCTAGGAAGTAACTAGCTTGCTTTTGATTTTACAGTCTCGTTGATGGAAGGGACACTTCTTGTCTCAGATGAGACTTTGGACTGTGGACTTTTGGATTAATGCTGAAATGAGTTAAGACTTTGGGGAGACTGTTGGGAAGGCATGATTGGTTTTGAAATGTGAGGACATGAGATTTGGAAGGCACAGGGGTGGAATGATATGGTTTGGCTGTGTCCCCATTCAACTCTTAACTTGAATTGTATCTCCCAGAATTCCCACGTTTGGAGAGGGACCCAGGGGGAGGTAAATGAATCATGGAGGCCAGTCTTTCCAGTGCTATTCTCATGATAGTGAAAAAGTCTCACAAGATCTGATGGGTTTATCAGGGGCTTCCACTGTTGCTTCCTCCTCATTTCTCTCTTGCTGCTGCCATGTAAGAAGTGCCTTTCGCACTCTGCCATGATCCTCCCCATCCATGTGGAGCTGTAAATCAAATTAAAGCTCCTTTTCTTCCCAGTCTCAGGTATATCTTTTTCAGCAGCATAAAAATGGACTAATACATAACCATACTGTGTATGCAAAATATTACACAGCACAGTTTCAATGAGACAGTTAACTTGGGAGAACAGACCAGAACAGAAAGGAATGAGTCCTTCATTCCCCCCCTCACTGAAGTGCTGGCAAACAACAATATTGCCCAAGCAAATTGGTAGTTGAAAGAGCCTGCCCTAAATTCTGTGGGGATGAGGTGATGAGGCTACATAAGGTCCTTAAGGGCAGAGAGATCTTGATCATTCCATTTGCCATCATCATCCTCACTGATACTAATTTCTATGTGCCAGGCACTGTTCTAAGTACTGTGTACTAACACACAGAATTCTAAAAATGAGAAGTTTCCTCATCTGTTAAATCTGCAGGTAAGGAAATTGGGACACAGAAAAGTCATTTTCCAAAGGTCACACAGGTGGTGAGAGGCAGAGCTGCTTACTGTGACCCTAGTGCCTAGCACAGAAGGTGCCATATCAGAGCTTGCTAAGTCCTTAGCTTGATTTCTCCCAGACATAGTAGCTAGGGAGAAAAGGTGATGGCAAATAAACATACTGACCAGCCTCGCCAGAGAAACGAGTGCTTAGAGAGTTAAGGTTATACGTATCCTCTAATAAAAGCAGATCATCTCCCCGACCCGAGGGAGAAACATGGACTGTCGCTTTGGCAGAGGGAGACAGTTTGCATCTGCAAGCCTGAGGGGTCCAGTTCCACAGGTGGACAGTGACACGATTCTACTCATGGCTTTGCTGTGCAGCAAAACAGTGATTTGCCATCATTCCAAAGGTCCCAAAATGTTAAAAGGCAAGACCTGAGGCAAAAATGAAACTCACAGGAAGGGAGGGCCTGTCATACCACCGTAATAGGTCACTGTCCTAGAGGACACATTTCAAATCAGTAAATGATCCTTGGTGCCTCCAGGTGTCAGCTGTATGCCCACCTGCCCAGGTGCTGCTACATGGAGCACTAGCAGTGACTGTTTGTGCAGGGGCAGGCTGAGCCTGAGCAAGCATCACCACAGATGCACCTCAGAGAGGGGGCAGTGGGCTCCAGAAGCCAGTGTGGGCATGTGCTTCCGATTCCAGCCTCTTTGGATGGTGTTTTCTCCCCACCTCCCTTCCCAGCCCACTTGCTCACATACCATCAGATGCTTTCTCTGGGCACAGTAAAATTGGCTGGCCTTCGAAGAGGTCAGTAACTCTAAACTTCCTAAAAGTTTAGTAACTCTAAACTTCCTAAAAATCTGATGTGTGGGGTAGGTCTTTGACCAAGGCTGTAGGGATGCGGTGAGGAGCAAAACATTTTCATTCAGTTCTCAACCCGACAAGAGAAATACTGTTGAGACCAACTTTACACCTGAAAACTGGGGCATGGAGCAATAAAGAAATTTGTCTAAGGCTACAACTAGTAAGTGGTAGAGACAGAATCGGAGTCCAGGTTGGCCTGGACCATACGAGGCCTCCATGAAGAGAAAAGACACTGGCCTGACTTCAGTGGTGGCAAGCAGATATCTCACTAAGCCATCCCTCTAACCTGAGAAGTGGTAGCATAAGGCTGAGGAGGGGGAGAGGGGACACAACAGCTCTGCCAGTTAGTGTGGATTAAAGCACTGAACCAGAAGTACCTGGTTTGCATGGATACCAGTTGCCTTGGACTTGACCGCATTTCAAGTCCACTGTAGGGTTCAAGAGATCTACTGGCTCAGGGTTTCACACAGGTCTGCCTTGCTGATAAATGTGTTGGAGCTTTTGTGTATTTGGCTGGAAATAAGCAAAAAATAAATGAGCCAAACCCCTTATTGTACAAACCCAGAAAATCCTGGAGACTTAGTCTGGGGGGCTCAGGATGAGAAAGCAAATTGTGGCCTCTGAATGCCGCTCCCGTGGATGCGAGCACCTCTTGTTCCTGAGTTAACACCAGAGCTGGATGGAGGCTGGTGAGCTTGGGGTCTTGGGGACCATGGAGTCTTAGAGTGGGCTCTCCTGGGAGCCTTTCTGCTCCTCAGATAGAGTGGGGTCTCCTGCCTTGGGGCGTCCATTGTAGCCCTGCACGCTGGCCTTTTTTCATAACTGAAGCTGTATCCATCCTGGGGATGTGGGTATCCTAAGGGCAGGGCGGGCCTCTCCCCAGTGCCTGGCACTGGGCCAGAACCCTAAGGGCAGCTCCACACTGTGAGTAGGGGCCTGAGCCCAGACTGCAGAAGGACAAGACAAAGGCAGGCCCAGCAGGCAGCCTGGCAGCCACAGGAGAGCTCCAGATACCCTCCAGCACTGGCAGGGCAGCTGTTAAGCCCTGGCTCCATGGGCACATATCAGCGCCAGTCCCCGCAGCCCCCTTCCTTGGGGTCCAGCACTCCGACCTGGCCAACCCACAGCCAGAGCACGCTGGGCAGAGCTTCTTGCCAAGGAAGGCTCTTGCCATTTCTGAGCAGGTGCTCTGGCTCTAGGAAAGAGGGAAGCTTCTCTGTGGATATGTGGGGGAGGGAGGGAGAAAGGGAAGGCCTGTTCATGCAGGTGGCAGCAGGGCGTTTTGAGTCGCTCCAGAACTAGCCTGGGGACTTGGGGTGGGAAATGGGTTGGGCAGATGGAGTAGGGAAGTCCACTTGTTGCCAGGTAAGTTTGGTGGAGGATAAACAAGCAATTCTGCCTAAAGAGTCACAGTAAAGAGCCCTTGGTACAAGATCCTATGGGATCTAAGGGGAGGAGCCGAAGTCAGCATGCAGTATTGGGAATGCTTCCAGAGACAGACACCTCTAATATTTTTGAAGGCTGCCACGGGGTCTGTGGGTGGACAGGGAAAGGGCATTCCAACCAAGACACATGCATAAGCATGAGAGAGTAGGTGGGTGCATGGATGGGTGAAGTTGGGGCTGGTGAGATCCAGGAGCCAACAAACAAAGCTCCTGCCAGTAATACCCACACGAGAATCCTGTGCCCAGAGGCAGTTTGGAGGACTAAGAAGTCCACAGTTGCGTCACTGCCTTCCTCTCCTGGGTCATAGGCCTCTTCTTGGCACCTCCAGAAAAGGTGAAAACAAACGGCTGCCCAGGACACCTATCTAGGGTGGAGGCCTCTTCCCCACTACCCCAGGGGCCAGGCCATGGCCCTGAGGTTTCTTCTGTCTCCCTGCAGAACAGAACCATAACCCACCTTAAATTACAACTCGGTACATACCCACAGAAGCAGCATTTCTCAAAACCTAAGCTACCCTCGGCTTGTATAAAGCACTCTAATTTATTTATTTTCTATCCTGTCCTTTTTTTTTTTTTTTTCAATGCTTGTCTCAACCCACAAAATTGCTTTTATAACCCATGAGTGAATTGTACCTGCAGTTTGGAAACACTGCCCTGGAAAGGCATCTGCCTGCTCTTCTCCAGCCCCTCTTCCCGGAAGGAACACCGAAATGAGGGCGCCTGCGTCCTGGTGAAGGTCAGTGGTGGGCAGGCCAAGCTGGGCCACGGGAGCTGCTGGAGGGCACCACTCCGCCCCGTAGGCTGTGCCTGCAGGCCGGGGAGCGGGTACTCCGGTGCTTGAGGACTTCCAAGCGAGGTGAACTGCAGAGGGACCCAGGAGGGTGGAAGGATGCTGGCTGGAAGTCGCAGAGGGCCAGGTTCAAATCCTGCCTCTGCTATTTATTGGCTCCCAGACCTTGGATCTGTGAATTAACCTTTGAGCCTCCCACTCCTCCTGCCTAAGCCTGGTATAATAGTCTCTCCCTCGCAGTGTTGCTGTGTGGATTCAGGGTTATTTAATGACCCCAGCAGAGCTCTGGAACATTTGAGGAGCTGGCAGGGCAAGGTGAGGGACAGCCCAACGAAGGCAGGTCCCTGAAGTCCTGGTTAACACGGGTTTCCAAAATTCGAGCTAGCCTGTGGTTTCTCCAGCTCGCCTGAAAGCTGGGGACACTGCATGCACCAGGTAGTCATTCCTGCACACCCCGCGCCCGCCCCACGAACTTGAGGGTCCATAGTTCGCCCCACTTCTTCCCCATCCCTCCAGCCAGCTCCAGCTCATCCTCCCAGTCTGGCTCGGCGCGAAGACTCCACAGCACCTTTCAGCAAAGCCCGGGACCTTGCGATGCACCAGTCGGCTCCTGTCCTCCTCCCCAGTCGTGCGTTCCTCAGGGGCAGGGTGAGCCCAGCAGTGTGTGTGTGCGCGCGCGCGCGCGCTGGGGGCGGGGGCGTGCAAAACCCCCGTGAGCCCGGTCGTGCGTTCCTCAGGGGCAGGGTGAGCCCAGCAGTGTGTGTGTGTGTGTGTGCGCGCGCGCGCGCGCTGGGGGCGGGGGCGGGGGCGTGCAAAACCCCCGTGAGCCCGCCTTCCGTCCACCCTCAGGCTGCAGGCCCCCGTGGCTCTTAACAGCCGGTGCCCTGCTGTACACACCCCGCCTCCCGGAAACGGCCTTGGCACGAAGGCCCTGGCGACCCCCAGGCAGGGCAACGGGCCCGCGCCCCTCTCACCCCCGCCCGCGCGAGACCCCGCGGGAGGACGCAGACAAAGGCTGTTGGCCGCGCTGCCTGGCCCCATGCCTCGGGTCTGCGGCGGGAACACTCTCCGCGGGCGGCCGCGTGGCCGGGAAGGCGCGGCTGGCGGGGAGCCTGCGGGTGCAGAACAAGCGGCCGCCCGCTGCCTGCCAGGGCCCGTAGGGACCGCCCGCCCCGCCGGGGAGACTTGGGGGCGGCACCGGCGTTGCTATGAGGTGGCCTCTGGTGGCCTGAGGGCGGGGCGGGTGTGGGGCGGCTGCCTAGGGCACAGTCACCTCCTGGTCTCAGGGCCCGCGACAGACCCCGGTCCTCCCTCCCGGGACACCGGGTGCCAGCTGCGGAGACCTCTCGCCTCTGCTGCACCCCGCAGCTACAGAGGAGGCTCCCGGGAAAGAAGAGTAAACCAGCGGCCACCCGGGACGCCCGTTCTGCGGGTGGCTTCAGAAAGTGCCCCCAAGCCCCAAGGAGATTGCGGTGCCTGAGGCAAAGGTGGTGCCACTTTCTGCTCCGTGTAGTCCCAGTGTCAGGGGCCTTCTGTGAACCACGGTAGGGACATAAGTTAGACACTGGGAAAACCCACACCTTTGCACGTGGCTGTTTTGGTTTCTGTGCCTGAGTCACTCGGCCCTTGCTGTAGCTTCCTACTCGTTTTACAAAGCTCTGCTTGTGCTCACCTGTCCGGATGGCACCCTTGCCAACCACCTGGCCAACCACGAATCATGGCCCCAGGCTGTCCACAGGCTACACCGGCTGCAGCCCCTCTTGCAGCACACCCTGCCTTGGCTCTGTAATATGTGTGTGCCTCCCGCTAGGCTGGGGCCCCTTGAGGCTGCTGGTCTCTCATGTCCCGGGGCTCTTGCCTGGCCTAGGCCTGGCTCCTGGTTAATAAGCTCTCAGTAAGAAGGTTCTGATGGCCCAGGCACTAGGGCTCAGGCCAGCACTTTGGGAGGCCGAGGCGGGCGGATCACATGTCAGGAGTTCGAGACCAGCCTGGCCAACATAGTTAAACCCTGTCTCTACTAAAAATACAAAAACTAGCCAGACATAGTGGCGGGTGCCTGTAGTCTCAGCTACTCGGGAGGCTGGGGAAGGAGAATCATCTGAACCCAGGAATCGGAGGTTGCAGTGAGCTGAGATTATGCCATTGCACTCCAGCCTGGGCAACAGAGTGAGACACTAGGTTCTGATGCTCCAGTGTGTGAGTGAGGCAGGGCTGCCCCAGGCCTTCAAGGTCAGCAGCTCTCCAGGCAGGCAGATGCAGGCAATTGGGGAAGGTCAAACAGGAGGCTGGAGAAACCAAAGCCCCCTCCCATCCACACAAGGCAGGGCCTGCACATCAGGCTGCCCCAGGGAAGAGCTGGCATGCCAGCGCCTTTCCTCCTTGGAATTAGGTCACCGTCCAGAGGCCTGGGAGCCTCCGGTGTCCTGTGTGCCTCGTGCCCCTCCCCTAGCAGCAATCCTTTTCTGGCATGGGGAGGCAGCTGCAGTGGGAAAAGGGGCCCCGAGTCAGAGGGGCAGGATTGCATGCCCTGTCAGTGCTGCTGAACTTGGTTCCCCGTCTATGCAAGATGAAGACAATGAGCAGGACACACCTGGCAGGACTATTTAAGGACTAAGTGTGTCACCAGCCTGGGAGGTGATATGCCTGAGCCTTTTCCTGTCCTCCCAGCCCCAGCCACCCGCTTCCACCTCCTCCCACCTAGGAAGGCAAGTTGTCCTTGCCATACAGAGAAAAATGGAGCTGTCTTTGGCCCCCAGGAGCTTTTCTCAACATGAGATTTCTCCAGTTTTGTGACCATGGGCCAAGAATTGCAGTATAGGAGGAGCCAGGGTTTCCCCACACTGGAGGTTTCTTGCTGTGGGGTCATTTCTACACTTTGAGGTGTGCCAATGCCCTCTTCACAGCCTGAAGCCCCAAGCACTTATTCCTCTGGCCCCTCTGCTCACCTGTCAGAGCCCCCTCATTCCTCCTTCACCCGCCTACCCCATGGGGCTCAGCGCCTCCCTCTCCCCGCATGGGCATCATGAAGACAGGGACCTGGCTCCTGCTGCAAAGGCCCTGGGCAGGGAACATACCCCAAACACTGCACAGGAATGCCTCCCCACCCCCACGACCTTCTCCCTGGGCCACAGGCCTGCTTCAGTGTCCTTGTCCAATGAAAGCTGCCCTGACACTCATTTAAACCCAATTCTGCTGAAGGTTGGGTTTCTTGTTTCCAGGACTTTTTTTTTTTTTTTTTTTTTAAACCACAGCTGGCACCCTGGCCAGTTCTAAAGCAGCCCTGAACTTCCTATTACACTCCTCAGTTGTGCCCAGCTAGGGTCCCTTGGCTTCTTCTCTCCTGATCATAACCTTGCCCAGGGCTTTTCTTCCGCCAAAGGACGGTCTGGAGGCTTCTGCATCTACCCTGGCTGTCACCCTAACCCGGGGCCTCCCCAGCCTTTCCTCTGGCATGCCCACCACCAGCACCCGTGCCTTCCCCCACTCCCCAGTCCTGCCCGTGGCTAGTGAGGGTCAAGTGAGTGTCAAGCCCAGAATTTTGCAACTCAGAGTGAGAGAAGCTTCAGCTTTGCTTTTTAATAAGTTAAGACTGACACATGGCCATCCACTCCCAAAGAGTCCCAGCCCTCCAGGCAGCGCTGAGGCCCAGGCAGGTGGCCCATCCCCGCTCTCCACAGCCTCCCTGCTGCCCACCCACCCACATGCCCACTGACAGCAGCGCCAGGACGTCTGGGCAGAAAGCATGCAGCTGTGTGACAGCCAGGCACCCGCTGCAGCCCTGTCTCCAAGCTGGACAGAACTAAGATGGAGGCTGCCACAGGCCAGGCTGCAGCAGCTCTTGCCTCCCCCTGGGCAGAGGCAGCGGCTGGGGTGGCGTGGGGCTGGTCTGGCTGGTCCCACTGGCTGGATCCTGGCTACCACAGTAGCATGTCCTGAAATCAGTTTTGTTGTTTTCAACTTTATGTATAAAAAAATTTCCTAGAAATTTTTAATATTCTGGCTACCAGATAACATCTCCCAGATGTTCCCAAACCCAGAAGGGGCATAAAACTCCTGTCAGACGACACATTCCAATTTTGGTTTGGCATATATGGTCAATGGCTGTAAGGCTGGTACTCCAGGACACTTTGCCCATTGCTGGAGAAAGGGCAAAGGCAGTGAATGGAGTAGGGAGGAACGTGGCTGAAAAAGGGAAGGGTCAAGGCCAATAAGGACATGTGCTTTCTTTGGTTCCACAGTGTTGGAGGCTAGGCTAGCCTTTGACCGGGAGTGGGACCCGGAGGTGAGGCCAGCTCTCAGACATCAACCAAAGGACCCACTGCATCTCCCTCCTTCCCCTGCCAACAAAGGTACAAGTAGATGTTGACACCCCCTCAGACATGGAAGGAGACCCATTTTTTTCTTTTTCTAGTTCTGCATAAATGGCCTTAAACAAAATATGCTAACAGGCTCCTTGCCTCTCCCGAAGGCAGCCCACCACAGAAGCCCTGCCACAGCCCAAGAGGTTAGATGCTGCCAGGATCTGTTTCCGCCACAGAGCAGCTCTGTGCAGCACATTCCTGCCAACCACCCCAAGTGCTTCAGGGCTTCCGAGGCAGTGACAGTGAGGGCAGCGGCACTTCTGGGTCACCGTGGGACAGGTCTCTGCCTCAAGACACGGATTGACAAGCTCTCTGAGTGGGCCAGGAGCTCCTTAATGTGAGCCAAGCCCAGCCCTGCCACCTTGGCCCCATTCATCTCCAGGATCTCGTCGCCCACCCCCAGCAGCCCTGAGTACAGCTTGGCCGTGCTCACGTCAGCCATCTCCTGCACGTAGATCCCTGCAAAGGAAAACGGGAGAATTTCACAATGACACCCAAATCGAAGAAGTGCATCTCTGGAACGCTGACCATGTTGGTGAGGTGCTGTTTGTGTGGCACAGGGAGGAGGTGCTCATAGCGGGCACTTCTCTGCGCTCATGCACACACACACATACCTCTCATTATTCCACCTCACAGCCGCAACTGGCTTTAGACAGTGCGCCTCCTCCACAGTCTAACTTCATTCCACTGTCTCTGCTTTTAAAGTGGAAATGCTCCTAGTGCAAATAACGCGTTAAATTGTTGTTATTTATTTATACCTGACTGTGAGTGAGCTAATCTTTTTCTGAGATGAGTTTTGCTTGTAGAATAGGAAGGAAAATAGTTTTTAAAAATTAGGAACCATACCTACTCGGTGCCTGGCACTATGATCCAGTTGCTGCCTCAGGTTGCCCAGGCCCAGCATAAAGGTCGGGGTGGTGGGAAGGTATCATCGGAAAAGCAAAAGTGGCTGAGCCACATCCAAGCCTGGTTTGCTGCACTCTATTGCCCAAGAGTGACCCTGGCCTCAGTCTTACTCAGATATGGTTCCTCAATTGGGATGGGAAAACATCTGAGCAAAAAAACCCAGGAAAAATAAAAATTCTAGCCACATATTTCAAAGCTCCGGTGGCTCCCTCTCCTCTTCTGCACATGTCCCCTCCTCCCCACCCCAAAGAGGCCCTGCCTGGGTCTAGAAGGTGCCAAGAGTCAGCCTGGAGGAACCAGCTTCTCTGTTTCTTTCCCAAGCTCCGGCTCTCAGGGAGCCCCCTGTCAGTGGGGCAGGCCCTGTGGGGCTTGGGCTGGCTGGGCTGGCTCCCTCTGGCATCTCTGGGAAGCGTCCAGCTGAGGAGGCCCCCATCCCCCCACCGGCCTCAGCTGTGGCTGGAAACCTTTCAAATTCCCCTCCAGCTGCTCCCACCTGGGAGAAAGTAAGTGAGGTGCTGGCTCTCCCAGGGCAGGCTGGAGCCCCTGATGCCCATGCTCCGTGCTGGGTGGACACAGGGGCTGAGACACAGGCTGAGTTTGCTGGAGGACTGCAGGGCACACCCCTGGCATGGGCATCAGCACTGGCGGAATTCAGGCTGCTCAGCGCAGCCTTTGGCACCCTCGCTGTTCCAAGCCCAGCTCGGCTCACTCTGCATTTCAAACATGAGGCCACTGCCCACGCGTTACTGTCTCCACTTCCTTTTCCTCCAATCGGGTTCCTAGCAGGGGCCCGAAGGGGCATCAGGTCTGCTCCTCAATCTCTGGCTTGAAACTAGTCACCACATCTTGGACTAGTGGGAAGTCCTCTCTCAGGTCCCCCCAGCCTCTGGCCCTGACAGAAGTCAGGCATTTTAAAGCCTGCCTCTGAAATGTGGCTTTGAAAGAGCACTGATCTTCACCGAGGCACCTGAAAGTCTGTGGCTCTGAATTTAGCAAATCCAATCTTTGTACACATTCCCCCCCCCCGGTCGGAGGTATAGAATCCCTTTTGTTGCTTCTTGGCCAAGCCGAGCCTTTTCTGCAGGGCTGTCTTCCCTGACGGTACGTCTGCCATCCTGACTGTACAAGGCGTTTTCCCTCAACCCTGTCTTTTACCTCCTCTAGCTGGACTGCTTGCCCTCCCTGTCTACGGGTTGGTGGCACGGGGAGGGGGCAGGTAAGAAGGAGCCCCTGGGGCGAACCCAGAGAAGTGTCTGATGTGCTGTGGGAATTGCAGGTGGGGACTAATGATAAACCCTGAAAGAATGCAGCTAGAGCTAGGCCAGACACTGACGTCACTCCTGCCATTTTGGGGAGACTCGTGTAGATTTCACGACTGAAATTCGTGACACAAATATGACAGCCTGCTGTCGTAGGCATTTATTGTCTGCTGGAAATGGCCTTTGTTGAGGATGTGTGATCTCTATGTTGTATCCAATTAGAAGCAGAAGGCAAAGCCTGCTGTTCTCACAGACTCAGAGAGTCAGATGTGAAAGCCAGCAAGTTAATACCAGCATCCTGCCGGTTCAGCGCAGGGCACAAGCCAGCCCTCTTCACAGCCCCTCGGATCCTGGAAGAAGTGACCCTCTGCTGTTGGAGGATGGCCTGGGGAACGGAGGCCCCAGCACTCACCAGGCTTCATGTGCGTGGGGACCCCTGTGTGCCATCTAGTGACCCATGATGGCAGCAGGACCAGGGAATGCTTGGGCAGAACAGGGAGCTGGCACCAACTCAGGCAAGGGTGCCGGGGACCCTGGGTCACTAGAGACCCTTGCCCATCAGAGCTCCCAGACGGGTGACGGGGAGGGGCTCCCACTGCCTACAAGGGAGCCAAAAGGGACTCTGGGGAATGGTGGGGGGCAGAGTACAATGCCCTGTTGTGTGTGCACTCACATCGACAGGGGAACGCAGATCACACTGGTCCCTGTCTGGGGTTTTCTTCCCCAGACCTTCTCTTTCTGAAGGGCAGGGAAGAAAAATGCTAGGCCCTTTCCTGTGTGCCTTATCAAATGCTCCTTATGACTCTTCTAGGTAGGTTTTGTCATCCTCATTTCACAGATTAGGGAACAGGCTCAGCAGGGATGTCGCCCGCTCTAGGTCACACAGCCAGCAGAGGTGCCGGAGCACAAACATGCTGGGTTGTTTGCCTCCGCCTTCACACACCTGTCCGGGGGCCTGTCCTGGAGGCTACGGGAAGGCCTGTGAGGAAGGACGTTTTATCCTCCTGAGGTCCAGAGTGGGCAGAAACCTGTCCTGTCTTCCTCTTACACACATGTCCAGCTCATCAGCAAAGAGTCAAATCAACCAGAATCCAACCTTCTCCCCTCTCCCCATCTCCACAGCCATTCCCAGCCCAAGTACCACCATCTCTGTCCCGGACTGCTGAAATAGCTTCAACACAGGGCTCCCTGGCTCCACCTGTGTCCCTCTGGGGTCTATTCTCATAGACATTAGAGAGCCTCAGTGCTTGCTCCCAGCCCTCTAGTGGCTCCCATCTCATTCGGCATGAAAGCCAAAGCCCCTTACAGTGGCACAACCCCATCTTTCCAAACTGCTCCTCCCAACCCCTTGCTTGCTCTGTGGTGTCCAACCTGACCTCCTCACAGTTCTCACAGGCCAGGCTCACCCCTCCACGAGGGCTCTGCACTCGCTGTTCAATCTGCCGGAATGCTCTTCCCCAGACACCCGCAGGGCCCCTCCTTTGCCCCATCCACGGCCCTGCTCAGGTGTCATCTTCTCAGAAAAGCCTCCCCACACTCCTGTCTATACCAGCATCTGCCACACCTGCTTTATCTGTATGTTTCTCAGAACTTTCTTTTCACCATCTGACATACGTAGCACATTATACAAAACAAGAGTACACATTTTATAGATACAATCTAACTGCTCACTGGGTAGTATATTCATGAGGACAGGGATTTGGTCTGTTCCACTTACTGCTGTATCCCCCGTATCTATAACACATAGTAGGTGCTTAGTATATATTTGCTGAAACAATTAATGATGGAACAGACATGAGAACTCATGCTGCGGTCTGCAAATGTGGCAGCAGGCAGACTTTTTTCCAGGCTAAACAGCATTGACCTAGGAGATCAAAGCATAGGACTCAACCCCCCATTGGCAGAGCCCAGCTGCAGCAGGCTTCTGTGCGCGTCTTTCTGTATCTGTCTCTCCCTTTCTCTCTTCTTCCTTCCCCTCCTCTCCTTGCCCACCCTCGCATACCTGTGTTCCTACCCTGCTCCTCTGGGGAATTTCTTTCTTTCATGGGCCCTTGCCCTGAGATACATTCTGGACCACAGACCTTGAGTGTGGGCCTTGGCAAGTCACGTTGCCCTGAAAGACTCATGGATGGGGCGGAACTGAGAACTGGCCAGAGTGCAGAATGATGTCCAGGACTCCTCCCTGCCCTTGCCTGCGTTGAATTGAGACCCAGAGCACACCCCAGCCAGAAGCCTGCAGCCAGGATTCATCTGAACATAATCCTTGGGCACAGAGGGAGGGACGGGATGCAGAGACAGACAGGCATGCTCCACCTGCCCAGACATACTCCACAGCCGGAGGAAAGGAACCGTTTCAACGCAGACGCATCAAAGGGACTGCTGAGAACCGGCAGGCACAGACAGTTTCCCTCTGGCTCTCCTCTGCTAAGATGGCCTTCAAAATTCTAATTTCTTTCTTTTTTTCCTTTGAGACGAAGTTTTGCTCTTGTTGCCCAGGCTGGAGTACAATGGCGCAATCTTGGCTCACTGTAACCTCCACCTCCTGGGTTCGAGCAATTCTCCTGCCTCAACCTCCTGAGTAACTGGGATTACAGGCATGCACCACCACGCCCAGCTAATTTTGTATTTTTAGTAGACATGGAGTTTCACCATGTGGGCCAGACTGGTCTTAAACTCCTAACCTCAGGTGATCCGGGCACCTCAGCCTCCCAAAGTGCTGGGATTACAGGCGTGAGCCACTGCGCCTGCCTAAGATTCTAATTTCAAGATATCATCAGACAGCAGGGGGACAGTGGAGTCAAACCTGCCAACTCTACCCCCTCCCGTACACTCCCCACCAACGCCCTCTCAGCTGCAGCTACCCAGGGCAAAGGCTCTGCAGGTGCAGACTCCTAGACAGCCCTGGACAATTCAGAAAGAGCCCCTGAGGGGAGAAGCCTAGTCCTGTAGTCAGGGGCTTTCTGAATTCCCAGAGCTCCACGGCTCAGCCAAGGACCAGAAAAGCCTCTGACACAGCCAGAAGGCCCTGCCTCGGTTTACTGAGGCTGCCCCGGCTATGGGGCTGAGGAAGGGGAGAGGGCATACCTGAGTCTGGGCGCCCATTCCCAGAGGCCACGCAGAAGCCGAAAGTGCCCCCCGGGGAGCGCTGCAGCTGCAGCTGGCTCGTGCCGTCCGGGAACACCTCCACCAGGCGGCCCACGGTGCGAGCCAGGCTGGGAGCACCCACGTCCTCCACGCTGAGGGCACGCCGTGGTGAAGCCTTGGCCGGCCTGCGAGGGAACCAGAGACACAGTGAGGGCAAAAAGCGTCAGGCACTGGGCACAACTCTTCCCTAGCTTACAGATGACTGATGCCTCATGGACATCCAATGCCAGAGTCTGGCATTGGAGGCTGGGGTTCTGCTGACCTCAACCAGCAAAGAGAGCCTGCTAGGGCCAAAACTGGTGCGTTTCCACTGCTGTGCAAGGCCCCCCAGAGCCTGCTGTGGAACTAGAAACCCCACCCTCCCAAAGCAGTGGTTTCAAATTTGGGGGGGTACAGAGACCTTTGTAAGAATCTGACAAAAGGTGTAACTTTATGTCACATTTCCAGGAGCTAACATATACCCTGAAGTGCATCCACGCCCCAGGAAAGAGCAGCCAGCCTACAGGACCTCGTCAGACAGGGCAGGATGTTTCCAAGCAGGTCATGCGTCCTGGGCCCCTCTGGGGGTCTCTGTCTCCACGTGTTTATTTGGATCTTTAGCTGGGCTAGGAAAGCTCTCTAAACTTTCTGATTTCAAGATGTCACTGGACAGCAGAGGGACAATGGACTCAAACCGGCCAACTCTACCCTCTGCAGCAACCCCAGGCCTTCTCAGAGCCCAGTGCACCGAGGGTCGGGGCAGGACACTGAGGTGCTGAGACTCCTGTGGCAGCCTTGTCTCCACA